TGAAAAGAGCAGAGTCCTGCTCCCTGAACAAGCTTGACTGTGAATTGCGGAGGTGGTGGACAGGTATGTATAGAGAAGATTCGGGACTGACTGTGTTGCTTCTGGTGCATGTCCCATTGCCTATGGCTGTGTACTTATACTGGTCTACACGCCGCTGAAACTTGGAGGGGAGAAGGATCATAGCATGGTTAAAATGGGGGCTGTCAACAAAAGACATCAACGCAAATATGTATATTACCAAGGCCCACATTGCCTTGTTCAATGAGGGCAATGCATTACTTCGGTGGAAATAAGCTCCGGGAGGTGTTGTATCACTCATTTGAAATGCCTTGGTGTGTTTCCAACATCACCGGTGAAAGGCATGAACTCGGAGAAATTGTTACTGCTGGGGGGTATGATCTCTTGAGTGGCGGGGCAGCTTGCAAATTCTCATGGCGGGATGTGTCGGAGCAAATTGGTGCTTGCGTTTGAAGCGGAACAGAAAAATCCGGATCATCAATGCTGGCTAGATAAAGATATCTTGGTAGATAGAGCTGCTGTTAGAGGAACTGGTAGAGAAAGCTGATGTGGAGGGCGTTTTCCTCTCGATTTTAGCTCTTCGAGGAGGCAGGTTCCGCACTCTCGACTAATGATCTTCTAATGCACCGCAAGTTGAGTCCCGTTCTGAAGCTTCTCTTGACCATATCGACTTTACCTTTGACGCCAGCTAGGACACTGCATGCTTTGTCTAGATTCCCAATGTTGTGGTATGAGAATGCAATGTCGCTGCTACTCCTCCTTTGCCTAAAAGCTTGCAGCTGCCCATCAATCTGTTCTCGTTAAAGTATAGACGCTTATCCTTGAGTTTCTTGTTGGTTGGCTTGTGGAAGTTCTTGCGAATGGTCTGAGTAAGTTCTTGTCAACCAACTGGTACACTGGCATCTCTTGCACCAAAGGCAGTGTTGTCCGGTACCTAATACCAAATTCGGTTGTGAGGGGCTTCCACAATTTCTTTCACCGTTTTTCTCTGTTTGAGTTGAGAATTGGGTAGACCACGCTCCGCATTTCACAACTATTGTCAATGTCCAAGTCGAGGTCAATTGTCAGCAACCTGACTAGGTCTTCAAACATGTCAACCAGTCTTTACTTTCGCCTTCCTTGTGGACACCGTTGTATCTTGCGCCTGTCAACTATTTTGCTCTTCACCGGGAACTAGCGCTCTCTGAAGTCTGTTCTTTAGGGCGATGAACTCTTTCTTTGTCTCTGTTGATGTCGTCGCTGCTGACTCCACTAGGATACCCACACCAGACTTCTCTGATGTGTTGGGTCACTGTACTATCTGGACATCTTTCCTGGACAAGGGAATACTCACTCTGTTCAACAAACAGCACGTCCGATCCTCCAAGCTTTGACTTGGCCCAATCGGAAGCTGGTGCCTGATTCTTCTGGCGGAGGCTGGCCGCAGCTAACACCATGGTGACAATAAAAAGCACAAAGAGGAACAGAAAAAAGAGATCTGGTTTCACAGCAATGGCTTTTTTGTGGCTTGGGGGTAACTGCACCAAGTTGGACTGGCAGCTAATTTCCTGTCACGCCTCTATGTGGAAGGAGTGGCCGCTCGCCATTCGAATTTTAATCGTCATTGTGTGTGCCGCCATTTCCCAAGAACAAGTCTCGGCTTATCTTGTGAAACTGCCTCACATTTTTCTCATGATCACAATAAAGTAAATCCGAGAGAGAGAGTGTTCTCTGCTGATAGAAAGAAAGAAAAGAAGAAGAAGAAGAAGAAAAAACCATGTCAGAAATCCAAAGACATGTTGCGAAGGACAGGGACCCCTACGAGTGTCCTCAGTGCAAGAAGCATGCTGCACACACTGACCTTGTAGGTAGGCAGCTCAAAACGGAGCACTCTGACATCTTGGAACAGCTGTCCTGTGAAACACCTGGTTGTAGGCAGAAGCTTTGGTTGGTCTGTACTCTCTGCGCGAGATCGGCCAGCGGTAGAAGCAGGGCTAGTCTTGTCAATTATAACAGTCTGTATGCACATCTGAGGTCAAACGTCCACAAAAGATCAGTTAACTTGAGTGCAAAAGACGGTTGCAAACATCTCGCTGATGACCAGCTGGAGGAGCTTTTCTTAGCACGTTTTCCCTTCTCTATCGAATCGTATATTGCAGAGCACTTTTCCAATGCTTCCTCTTCTGTAAGTCCAGATTCAAGATAGAACTCCATCAATCGATACATGCCACTTCGCTGCGTCCACCACTGTGTCCTCTGGCGCCCACCCAAATCCTGCCTCCAACGACCACCAGTTTCCTTTTCTAATTGTCGATAGTGCTTGCAGTAGTGTTTCCAACGCTGTTCAAAAGTAGTGCAGTCATTGTCACAGAGAACAACCATCTCGGCTTGACGCTTCCTAGTCTCACCATTGCTTGTCCGCTTCACGGTCTCACCATTGCTTGTCCGGTTTCTGAGCTCTTGAGATATGGACTCATGCTGTTTCACCGGTGGCCGTCGTTTCCTTGCAGTTACTCCATCAGCTAGGGGTGCTGCTGTTTCTTTTGCCAGCAGATGTGGGGGAAGGAGTAATGGCAACACTTCCCTTCTCTGTAGTAGGTCTCCTGCTGGCTGCTGCGAAGGAACTGGAATGATTCTGCATTTGTTGCATTTCTGAGAAAGCTGCCTGTTGCTCCTGTTGCATTTGCATAAGGGGACGGCTGACATACTGGACTAGCAACTGTTCCATGTTGGATACATTATCTGGATTCTCAACACTGAACATGGAGTTGATTGTGTCCTTGGCTTTGAGTCGACTGAGAATTGACTGCTCCAGCAGTGAGAATACTGGTAGATTGAATGCTGAGTGGTTTAACAGAACAGCAAATCTGTCGTTCCGGTATCGTTGAAAGACACTCAGGTTGGAGTTGGGCAGTAGTTTAAAGGTTCTTGGGTGCAGCTCCGGTGTAGCTAGCATCACGATACAGCTTTCTACATCCCATCGAATAGAAGCCACCATTCCTTTTTTGGTGTACAACCGCTTCGATGTCCTCTCAGCTGCTGAAGTAGCCGAGTTGAAATCCTGGCAGATTGTTTTGTACCACTCTTCGATCTCTGGAATAAGAGCACATCGGATCTCATTGACCCACACCTTTTCTTGCGCTGTAAGCTGGAATGGAGTAGTACTGTACTGTTGAGGGTAGTGGTGGTCACCACCGGCCCTTTGGACGATACCAGCAGTGGGGGGGTTGTTGGCATAGCTTCTTTGATGGACGGTTTGACCCTTCCCTTTGTGCCCAGTCATTCGACACTGTACAGGTTCTGGAATGCCAAGCATATCCATTTGCTGGATCGATTGGAAACGTGGCTGATGTGTGACCTTGGCACATATCACGTCAGCTTCCGAGTAGAAGCTTCCGAAGTTGGCAGCAACTTGTCGAGATGAGATAGTCTTGTCTGTGTCCTCTGATGATGGATACGTTAATACATCAAAGATAGCTTTGTAGTTATTGCCAGACAAATCAGGCAGTCTCCTTTTCTCCACTATCAGCTGCCAGAGAAAAAGGAGACCATGCCAGCTGCTGGAATCTCTCAATGGATCTCTGTGGGGGATGGCTACAGTATACTCTAGCCACCCGACTTTGTTGTGCTTTGCCTTGTTAGTCACAATCTGAGATGCTCCAATACCGGATGGACCAATAGCTTCCATGAACTTGTAGGCTCGTTGAATCATTCTTTGTCCAACAAACTCTTCACTTCTTCGGGTAGTGGCACTCATTGTGTGATAGTGGCACATAAAGTAGATCGCATTGCTGGGTTTCAGCTTAGATACTGGACCACCGGCCTTAGGATTGAATGCTGACAGTGCCATCTCTCGTATCTGGTCCAAGGACACCCATTGCTGTAGCTGAGCCTGTATATCCTCACAATTGTTAAGAACCCTGGATGCAGCTTGACTCTGTACTGCTTTGCAAGAGTTCTGGATTGACAGTGACTCGCCAACTTTGATCTGCTCCAGAATACCAGCAAACCCAGCTTCGACTAGGCGGCAGTAATGCTCGCATTTGATATTAGTATTGAGAAAGGTCTTTGCTTTAGCCATGACTGATTTGCAGCCACCACATTCTTCCATAAGCCACTGGAAGAATTGCACCGGTAGTTCCTTGTCATACAGGTTGGAGTTTTGAATATCTGCCAGTTTCCGCTGGTCGTACAGCTGCAAGCCAAATTTGACTTCCCATGGTTCCCTATTCGAGACTATCGATTCACAGAAGAAGTGCCATCGAGGCCAAATTGGACCAAAGAAATCCTCCGTGGACTTGGTACATATATCTGCCTGTCTCATGCCAGCGTACAAATCAACCATCTTTGGCTTTTTGAAGCCCGACTTCTTCTGATACTTCGGTTTTGAATTTGCTTGGCCCCTGCCATCAGTCAGCTCTGGCTGTGGGATTTCATCAGCATCGTCTCCCTCATTGATTGGGTCGCCATTGTCATCAACCAGAATTTGGGGGATACTATCCGTTAGCTCGCTAGCAGCAGCGTTTTCTTCCCTAGCTCTGGCAAGATCAGGAAGACCACTCATCTTCTACTAATACTATGGATGACAGCAAGAAAGCTTGGTTAATTATCTCAATAAAGACACTATGATGGCAGCAGCACTACCATGCCACCATGGCAGCAACAACAGGCCTGGTGGTTCATTTTTGAATGCTCCGGTGCACTTATTTGTTACTGTCAGGGGGGGCCACCATGCTCTCAGAGCCAGGCATGGCGGCAAAGGAGCCAACCGGTAACTAGGGACTGATTTGAGCTGCTCAGGCCAGTCCCTATTAGTACTGGCAGTTAGAGGAGGCATGTTTGGGAATGTTTGCCGGAAACCCAGGGGGGAGCCCCACAGGGCTGCAGTACCAGAGGGAGGGTTAGGGTTCCCGTAGAAGTCACCCAGGAACAGAGAAGGAGGTTGTCCTCTTTGGTTTCGAACTGTCGAACCGACCCTTCGTTCCAGACTGTTCTCACACGAATGAAAGATCCGCTTCGTACCACTTCGGCAACCGAGACATCATTCAAGTTGCTAGTCCGATCAAGGGATGAAGAAGCTCATGGTTTCCCCACAATTTTGAGATTAGACAAAACCAAAAGCCGCAACTAGTGGCTAGAAGCAGCCTCCTTGAAAGATGAGAGTCTTGTTAATTGCAGTCGGTAGCCGCGGAGATTCGGAGCCGATGTGTTCCCTGGCGGCAGAACTCGCCACCCGCAAGGAAATTGCGTCGATCGAACTATTCCTCCAAACCGATGCCGAGAGTCTCGTACCAAAGAACAATGATGATGAAAGGAACAAAATACATTACCACGAACTTCCATTTACCCAGATGGATTTCTACAAGTGGGCTGGCCAGAAGCGAGAGCCGCCACAAGCCGGAGCTGGTCACCCGAACCAGAGGGTGCAGTTCCTCGGGATTGTTACCGACATTATGGGAGAACTTGTTCTGCCCAACTATTCCCGTGTCATGGAGACAATAGTATCCGAGGGGCCAAAGGTGGATGTCATTGTGGCGTCTTCGTTGGCACGTCAACTGGCCTTGGAAGTTGCGACTCAAGTCGAAAGCAGCAGCAGCAAGCCTGTGCCTGTCTACTTGGTCCAGCTACAAAACTTGGTTCCCACGAAAGACTATCCCCACTACAGCCGAACGGAAGCTTGTGTGGATGCTCTCACAGGAAAAGCCGGCGCCAATACGGATGAAAACAGGAACTCTTTTGTGGAGTTGGAACGACTCCAACTTGAATTTTTGACCGCCCACGTGGATCCAGTTCTTTCCAAGCTACCCAATTACAAAAAGAAAGAAAAAGGAATAGATTTTGACAATGACATGTTGCCTATTTTGACGGGGAATGAGCCTGCTGATGCCAGCTTGGATGTCTGGATGGTCAATGCTGTCTCCACTCATATCATCCCCGCAACGTCAGATGCCGGTCCGAAGGTCATCAATGTCGGTAGTCTCTCCTGCAACTATATTCCAGATGGCTTTGAGCCCCCTCAAGATTTGGTGTCTTTTTTGGAGAAACACGCCGACAATCCCCCAGTTTGCTTTGGATATGGATCCATGCCCTTTGGCCAAGCCCAAATGATCGTGGAGGCCGCATTTGAGACGAAGCGACCTTCCATTCTCATTGGGTCCGCCATGATGGGAATTTTGGCCTCTCTTCAAGAATCAGCTGTATCAGAAGAAGACAACGAAAAGGTTTCATGGCTCAAGGAGAATATCCACTGCGTTTCCAACATTCCCTATCCCTGGTTGCTTCCAAAGTGTGCCATGATGTTCTGTCATGGCGGTGCGGGCACAACGCAATCAGTACTGCGAGCGGGGATTCCTGCCGTCATTTCCCCGTTGATTGGGGATCAGTTCTTCTTTGCCAAGTATTTGGAGGCCAAGGGTTGGGGTGTTGCGTGTTCTGACTCCTTGACGGCCCTTTCAAAGGAAGCCATTCTTGCCAGCTTTGAGAAGGCAGAAGCGTGTCAACCAGCTTGTAAGGTCCTTGGTGCTGCAATGTCATCTGGAGAACCAGCTAGTAGCAACAGTGGAAAGTATGGCCCAGAACTGCTGGCTACAGCAATGGTTGAACATGTTTCCGCATAAGGAAATCGGTGCTACAGTAGAGGTCAGGTCACTGGTTTGTTTGAAGAATAGATACAAAGCCAGAACTGTTGAGAAGAAAGAACGAACTGTCGAAGAACTGTGAATATGATATGTGAGTGTTTCCAAAGCAGTTGCTCGAGTAGATACCCTAAAATAGAAGTGAACCTACAGGTACCGGTATGATTGCTGAAGATCCTCAGATATTTTCTTCCGCCAAGCGACCGACCGTGCAGTCAGTCACAGGCTACTCCCGTCCCGTACACCGTAGAACTTCGGCGATGCCTGTTTCATTTTCCAACGGCCAGTGCCATTGGTTCCTCGTTCAGAGCACAAGAGTTTGAAGTTAGAGTATGTGGTTTACAACTGGGAAGCGAGGTTTGGCTTCCAGATAGATTCAATATGCGTGTGTCTACAATGAGGTCAGGTAGCCAGTAGACATTGTAGTTGAAAAGTTATTCTCAACGAGGGCTTGTCATTGTTGAACCGTCCATCCCTGGCAACTCTAGACGGTTGCACGAAGAGATGATCGTTTCATTCAAGCAACCCTTGAGGGTGCTAGCCAGCTAGAACGTAGCCGATGCCAAGATTGCAGCACCAAAGCTGGCTTCCGTGTTGCTTGCCCTGGAGACTTTGACAGATGCCTCTCCTTCATTGTCGAAAGCTTCATTTAGTCTCCTCTCGCGAAGGCTGCTCCACATGTCATTGCGGGAGCCACCACCACAAGTCAACACAACACTTGGTTGAGCTGGAGTTGCCCCCAATTCTCCCAATATCTGAAAGCCATCCCGCTCTACGTTGCTGATGCCCTGAAGGATTCCATGCAAGTAGTCTCGCCTACTTTCCGGCACTGGCGTCAACAAAGGTTCTTTGTTGCTATCCGCAACCGGGAACCGTTCTCCAGTGTTGACAAGAGGATAGTATTCCAATGAGCTGTCTGTGTTTGGGTCGATTTCAGCACTCAGTTCGACGAGTTCTTCATTGCTGAACTCTTCTTGCCGAAGTACTGCACATCCCACATTGCTGGCTCCACCAGCTAGCCAGCAAGCACTGCCACTGTCGTCGGTGTCGTTGGCAGAAAAGATGGAAGGGACTCGGTGGCTGTACACTCCTCGATCGGCATCTTCCACGTAGGATTGACTCAGATACTTGATGGCAAGCGTACTCCCCAGTGATGTCACGGCTGTTCCGACCACGGGTTCTGCACCCGCAGCAGCAAAAAATGCTGCATTGGAGTCGGTTGTTCCACCAACAATGACAGTGTCTGCGGACAAGCCAAATCGCTCGGCAACATCCGAGCTAACGGTACCCATTGGCTCTCCAGGAGAGATAACCTTTTGTGGGAGCACCCGAAGTGGATTGTTGCTGTCCGCCAGTGCATCTGACAGACATTCCTTCATCCAACTGGGCCATTCCAATTTTTGTACATCGTATCCCAGCTTGAGACAATTGTGCCAATCACTCGAAACAGTCCACGTGTTGCCTGGTCCGGCACCGCATGCCCTGTCATTGGCTCGCAATCTCATGGCGACATAATCCGCTTGGTGGCAGAGTACTTCTGACTCTCCCAGTTTTCGCTCTTCATTCCATGTCAGTAGCTTGGCCAAAGATCCCGACCGTGCCCGTGCCGTGTGCCGTGGAGGTGCATACGTGTCGAGTAGTTCCGTGGCTTTCAAGGAGTAAATGGGATCTTCCTTGTCGCCGCGGCTGGCAACGACGTCATAGTTGTACCTGGGTGGGTGGGCAGAACACAAGGGTAAGAAACAAGTCAAGCAAGATCTCCACTATAACTTTTGCTTTTTTGCAACATCCTTACTTACATGCGAGCCTTCCTTGTGACTTTGTTGGCTTTCACATCCACTACAAGACAGCTGGCCGAAGTGCCCGACACACAAATAGACGCCACAGCGGAGAGAGGCTGATCGGATGTTCCTTTTTGGAGAGCTTTCGAGGCTCCCGCCAGGAGGGTTTCAATGGCATTCATCCACGCCTCTGGATCGTCATACGAGGCGGCATTTTCAGTATCTTTTTGGGAAGGATCGCTCCAAGAAACAGCCTCTGTGTAGATCTCTTTCAGGAGCGGCAGTTGGTCGGATGATGGATCTTTGTGCTTTTCCACCACAGATATTCGACAGCCAGAAGTTCTAGTAGAGCAAAAAGTGGAATGAATACAAGAAACATTGAGTGTTTTCCACACATCATCACTTTTATAGCACAATCTTACCCCAAGTCAAAACCAATGTGGGTGGTACAAGCAGATGTGCCAGTAGCGGAAAATCCAGCTCCGAATCTAGATGTCAGAGTGAGCATAAGGAGGCAAGTAAGCCACTTTTGACCTGTGGTACACCGGTACGATGTCATCTTATCAATGCATCGATATCGACTGTAGCAGAGATAGATGATGATGCTGCCGTCGTTTACGCAATGGCGTCATGGTCGGTCTTTGCCCTCATTTTTTTTTAGTGACATCAGTGAATCGAATCTTTTGGACTTCGATCGATTGATTCGATTCAATCGATTCGATTTTGGATCTTTCGATTTGGATCCTTGTGCGATGTTGCCATCGTTGTCGACCCTTCGAGAGAACGGTGCAGTAACAACAGATCCTCCAGCATGTCCCGATGGATAGCACTGTTGCTTCCGTTCATCGCTACATGTAGCAACATCAGTACTGTTTATGGGTTTCTGTTTCGGTCTGCTAGCTACGGGCGTTCTGCATTGGCGGCTGTACCGGTCGAAAGAAGAGAAACGGATCTGTGCTGCCATCAACAACGGCAGAGCAACAGCACGGCCGAGCTTGCCCGTCGGGAGTTGTTGCCCCGTCTTTTTGGCGTCAATGTCCTTGCAGTCTCTAGTGCCATCATTCCTCCTTTTCTCGTCGGAAGTGGAAGCAAGGCAGCTTTGGGTGTCACGGGAAGCAAAAAGAAGGATTATTATTATTTGAAGTCTGTGACGGATCCCAATACCTACCCGGCGTTGGTATATTCGAATCCAAAAAGTGCCAGCAATAACCAGGACAAGAAGATACCCCTTCTAGTTGTCTTGCATGGAGCAGGAAAGAACGATGAAACTGTGTGGAGTTTGGCAGACCCAAAGGGGGAACATGCAGGGCTGCTACCCAGTTTGATTGCCTGCGATACAGCTCCCGAGACGGCCACTGATAACTTTGCCGTGGTGGCCCCATATGCCGCTGGAAAACAATCCTTCTACGAAGAACCTCGGTCCAAGTTGCTGCGATTCGTAGAATGGGTTTGCAGCGAACAGGGCCAAGAGGCAGGCTGTCCCGCCAACATTGATCCGGCCCGTGTCTTTCTCTTTGGCTTTAGTGATGGAGCCACAGTGGCCGTGGAACTGGCGACCACACGACGGTTCAAAGCTTGTATCATTTGTGCCTACGGCTTTAGCGGTGTTTTGCCAAAGTTGGCACTGGAACGACTGAAGGACGTCCCCATGTGGATCTTTCATTCGGCGGACGATGTGATCTTTCCCGTGGCATACAGCGACCAGTTGGTGACCTCGTTGCGTTCTGTCACTACTTCTTCTCTCGTTCTCTACACACGATATGATACAGACCAAGAAGGATTCACGGGCAGAGTCAGAGGACATAGTGTGGGAATTACTGCATCAAAGCTTGCCGATATCTACACATGGATGCTGTCGATCCCCTGAGGATTACAGAACAGCCCGGAAATGAGACCATCAGTGGCATGGGGCATTTGCTTTGGAAGGATTCCATTGAAAACAAAAAGCAACGAAGCTCTTCCATCGGTTCTTGTGTCTCCCCTTGACGATTCTCGGGTACGTCATGAGATCTGCATTTGACGTGCACGTGTTCAAAGAGTGGATTCACCTCACATACATTTCGTGTTTACAGTTTCGGTATTCCGGCCTAACAGCAGTGAAGGTGGATACAAGCCGTAATAAGGGGGTTTCCGGATGCACATGGGGTTTTGACACATCCCCGTCAATGGATCCATTACACAGACGTATCATCTGTAGAACCCCAGAGGGGGGAGCCATCTTCAAATTGAATCGATGACTTTTGCGGGTGATCGTTTTTTTTCCTGGAGTCCACCGCAACTACCTCCTCATCCATGCGGCTTTCGGACAGCTTTGCGGAGCGTTGATCCTGCGTCAGTGACAACAGGAAAGACTTCGAAAGAGGATCCACCGCATGAGGTTCGACGTCTTCTGGAGCACGGTCCGTGAGGGCAATTGCACCAGCTAGAAAATACTGCCAATGTGCTACCACCATGGTACAGGCACTCAGGGCTGCTACCCAGTGATTACCTGCAAGATACTCAAGTTCGCTGGTTGCATGGGAACACTTTGTCATGAGAACATTTGCATGTTATGCAATCAAACAGTGGCGTCCTTTGGCTTACCTGAAAATGACCCACTCAAATGCAACTTCCAACAGGATTTGAACAGCAACATACGATGCAAAGTGAATGGGCGAGAGGAGCGTAAACCAGTGCTGCATTGCAAGAATCAACGGAGGAGTGATGGCGTAGCGATCCGCTCTAGCAACTCCAGTTAGCAAGGCAGCAACTCCAATGGCAACCGCAGCGTGATGCAGAGCAGTGCCGGTACCATTGAGGAAATCAGTGACTCTTCCGACATTGGAACGGGTCTGCCCATGCCATCTCATGTGACGATACATATGAGTTTGTGGTAGGTCAAACCTTCCTGGTGCAACCGCGCGGAAGAGGGGCGCCTCTCCGAACAAAGCGACAAATTGGTAAAGCAACGTTTCCGGGAAACCGAATTTCCAGTGTCCCAGGACAATGAAAGGCAAAGCCATGTAGTTCCCTTTCACTGAAAGGCCTAAGGCGGTCACTGCCAGCAGAGGAAAGAAGAACTGGCCTAGCTGGAACACGCGGTCTTCTTTCTCTGTCCAGCCGCGACGCAACAGGACTAAAACGTACACCATGAGCTCCAAACCCAAGCCCGACAACTCGATTGTTATCCACACAACAAACAGAAGAAACAGATTCCATGTATCGTTGTCCAAGCTGGACATGAAGACTGCAGTGCCGGTGCTCCCCCATGACCCATAATGGCAGAATCGTCCGCAAAGCTCAAACAACATCTCCTCACTTTCGATCAAACGATTCAATGTTTGTTAGGGCAAGATCGATTGGCATGTCTCACTCCATTGGCGCAGCCCCCACTTACATTCGATCAAATGATGGACTCGCGATGTTCGCGTGTCGGAGATTGGACTCCCCCATTGCTGCAGCCGTTTCGTATCGGGATTTTGTTATGTTGTCCGACCACTGGCTCTCGTAGAAGTCTTTTAGCTCAGAAAATTTGCGAGCTCCAATGAATGCAACCGCTGTCTTGGGAGGTTGAAGCTGATGCATGAGGGAGAGACAGGTAGAAATCGATTGAATTGCCAGGAAAGAGCCACTCTCTTTGCCAGCAGCTCTGCACGAGACAGCGGGGATGAGAACAGAGCCCAGGTAGTCCAACGGCAAGGAACCCCAAATGGAAGCTACGGACCAAGCCAAGTGAGTCGATAAGAATTCCTGCCCTACGATCCATTGTGAAGTGTCGTCATTTGAAGGCCCAAACTGAACGTTGGAAGCTAAAGCCAAGCCAACTCGTCCATTGTCCTCCAATTGTCGCTCGATATCGCGTCGAACCAATCCAAGCAGGTTCATGATGAGGCCCTTGTGCCTAGTCCGGGCTGAATCGTTTGAGTTTTCAGCAATCTCCTTGGCGAACAGTCGCAGGCTCAAGGCTGTGGCACGGTACACCTTGATCAGTTCATCGGCCTCATCCTTGGAGAAGTGTTTCTGAATGCTCTCTTCTCTAACAAGGCGTTGCTCGTGAATCATTGCATCGACGATCTCGTTGAGTACCTGGGTGTCCCGCAGTGCAGCCAACGAGAGCTCGTCGTATACGGCGGCTTGGTTCACAAAATACTCGAGAACACCTCGATTCTTTCTGGCGAACGTAACAAAAGCTGAGCCGATGTCATGCTTGTTGGTCCCATCCACTGATGTACTGAGTTCTTTCTTGAGAAATACATAAGCGAGACTGGTCATAGGATCCATTGATTGCAAACAAGTACTGGACTGGTTGTATTTGTGGATTAGGTCCTGGGGAACAGCCAAGTATGGTTGTAGCAAAGCTCGAACAGAAGGGAGATTTGATAGCCCAAGGTTTTGTAAAACGTACTCAACAGAAGTGGGGGAGGTCTTTGGAACGATCTCTTGCAGTTTGACGGCCAGTTCTTCAATACCAGATGAGCCAGAAAAGTCATCAGTTGTCATTGCTGTGATTGGAAACGACGAGTTCGCCAAAGCAACAGGGCAATTCACTGTTCCCTCGGGGCAATCATCACAGTTGTTGCTGTCACAGCGCAGGGAATATCCAGTGTCTGGATCGTAGCCAAAATCTTTCGCCCAGTCAGCGAAGAAAGAGCGGTCGGTTCCTTCAGTGGCGTCCGAATCCGAAAGGAGGGAATCTGGACACCTGATCTTGCCATTCTTGTCCTCCGTTGGTATGGTCGCGATGCGGGGGCAGTGCTCTGGGTTATGTTCGGCAAGCACTGCATAGAGGATTATGCAGCTTTGTGAAGTGCCATGTTGGGTGCTTACTTCCGCCTTGACAGGAATGGAAGCTATCTTCTCCTCACATGACGCACCACGGTTGTCATGTTCTTGGTCCATGCCGCACGTTCCAGACATGACAGAGCATACATACTCTCGCATGTGGTCATTGTTCAAGAGAGTACCAAAGAGAAAGTTGAGGAACTCCCGTGGGATGTGGAAGCGAATGCTGGTGAGCTTTCCTTGATTCGCATCAAAAGTAATCGACAGTCCAGTCGTAACATTGGATGTGATGGGAAAAGCTGAGTAGTCTTTGTTGAATTTGAACTGCTGTATTCCCAGGACAGCGAAGTTGCAGGTCTTGCCATTGCTGTCGTAGCCGGTAAATCGAAGCGTGTAGTCCAAGGTTTCAGCCGAATCAATGAATGGGCTCAAATCACTAGCAAACGCCAAGTATGCAGCATTCATTATTCCATCAGAAGCCTTGCTCTCACTAGATTGTGCAAGGGTCATGACAGCATCCGAAGCAAAGATGCCATCAATCGAAAACCCAGCAGCCAGGAAGGACTCGACGCAGTGGCGTTCTATTGGATCGATTGGCCTGTCGTCGTTCGCAGGCAAGAGGGGTATCCGGCCAATGTCTCCTTGTGGTTGGTCCAAGCCTCGCACCCACGCTTGAATTGGAGGTATTGTGATCTTGACAAGATCCACTGCTGGGTTGTTAAAAGTAGAGTACGTTTTCTCTGTATTCCACCTGCCAAAAGACTCACGAGGAATGATAACGTATTGCAAAGTAGCTGCACAAATGGCCATGGCCACAAACACCCACGCAAACAGTGAGAGCACAACCCAACCCAACCGGTGATAGTTTTGTTTGAATTTGTTGTCAGCATTGGTGTAGCGTGTATTTCCGGCGCCCCTCGACAGGCCTATGACGAGCTTTTCTCGTTCATCATCCAACACTCCTTTGGCATCCGTCTGATCAGGCTCGAAGGCCAAGCGTTTTGCGTCGTCTTGAAACTCTGCCATCGTGGTATAATCTTTGTGGTATCGGGGGTGGGGGTGTTTACTGTACTGTAGCTACGAACTGGTTGGTTCTGATTATTTGTCAAGAGGACTTACAGTGGCAGCCTGAGCCGAGTCAGTCTTCGAGCAGAGCAGCATTCGTGCTGTGAAGCAAAGCGAACAAGCGAACAGAAAATGCTTCAAGCCGCCCAGCCATAAGTAAAGGTGTGACATTGGTGGTTTTACTAGTCCCATTGCAGCTTACTGGTAAATGCGAAGCCAACAAGCAAGGGTTGAACGACTACTCAGGCTCGATTCGGTGCCATTATTTAGGTACATGTACCAGCATGTGACGCGAATACTCATGTCAGCTCCCCTGTCAATGCTTGGGACGGTACAGTACCGGTATCGCGGAACCATCGTGAAGTTGCATGCATACTGTAATAATACTCGCCGATGATCTAGTAAAAGGGAACCTAATAACGCGCTTTTAATCTTTTAATTATCTAGAAGAAGGGTACCATCCGTGTACCAGCCAGAGGAATGTTGGCGAGACAGCGTCCTCCAAACTAGTAGGATCGTCCCCAAAGTACCCAGCATGTAGCTGGCTTTCCACTTGCGATGCACTTGGTGCCTTCTGGGAGCTCGGGCTGGTCAAAGGGGATGCATAGAGTCTTGGCAGCCAGAGATGTGGCAGTCTTCTCATCTTCGCCTTCTTCACCTCTTGCCTTGAGTGACTCTTCGCGACTTGTCGTCTTCACCCACTCTTCCCAGTCCTCGTGCTCTCCACCACACCATGGCGTCAACATCAGGTTGTTCAGTTCAAGATTGGGGACAAAGTCCTTCCACTCAGTGACCTGCACCACGTGCGAGTCCCGTGCTTCCTTGGCCTTGGCAAACATCTTCTCCTGGATATCCTCCAACTTGTCCTTGAGGATGGTGGCAATACCATCAATGTTGACATCAATCTTGTCACCATTGTAGCGGAGGACACAACGGGCTTGCTTCTGCTCAATGTCTCGTGGGCCAACCTCAATACGGACAGGGACACCCTTTTGCTCCCAATGATTGTACTTCCAGCCAGGGTTGTACATGGTGCGGTCATCAAACTTGGCTCGGAGCTAGAAAGAATACAAGTATATGTGTGTAAGGGATTCATCCACACAAACAACAAGGCTCTGACAACAGCGGCAAACAACAAAACAACTTACTCCAAGTTCTTCCAGCTCCTGCAGAATAGCCTCGCAATAGGGCTTTGCTTGTTCCATTGGGAGCTTCTTGCTGATGATAGGCACAATGACAACTTGGATGGGGGCAACTCGAGGGGGCAAAACCAAGCCAGTGTCATCCCCGTGGACCATGATCATCACACCAATGGTACGAGTCGTCAGACCCCAGGATGTCTGCCATGCAATCTGGGACTCACCCTTCTCGTCTTGGAACTTGATATCGAACATCTTTCCAAAGTTCTGTCCCAGGTTGTGCGATGTAGCTCCCTGGATGGCACGGCCAGATCCCTGAATGTAGGCCTCGACGGTGGTGGTCATGTGGCCTCCGGCAAACTTCTCAGCCTCCGTCTTGTAACCCCTGACGACAGGGACAGCCAACAGCTCTTCATACACGCGACGATACAAATCCAGAGCTTGCATCACCATCACCTGGGCATCATCGTAGGTTGCATGGGCCGTGTGCCCTTCCTGCCACAAGAACTCTCGACTGCGCAAGAAAGGGGTGGGGTACTTGAACTCCCAACGGACGACGTTGCTCCACTGGTTCAACTTGAGTGGCAAGTCGCGGTGACTCTTGATCCAATCCGAGAAGGCAGGGTACATGATGGTTTCCGACGTTGGACGAATGGCAATGGGTTTGGCCAGATCAGCGTCCCCACTCTTGGTGACCCAAGCGACCTCGGGAGCGAATCCTTCCACATGATCTTTCTCCTTCTCCAGACGATCCTGGGACACAAAGAGAGGGAAGTAGCAGTTATCGACGCCGAGCTTTCGGATCTAAAAGGGCAAAGGAGAACAACGTGAGATGTGAGATGTGAGAAGTGAGGTAACGGTAGAAATGGGGGCCACATCACAGCAAGTCGGAACATGTACGGAGCAAAAACGTACCTCCACATTGAACCAGTCCTGCATCATCTCCCAAATCTTGTAGGACCAGGGACGCAAAATGTAGCAACCACTAATGTCGTAGTAAGCAATCATCTCGCTGAGCTTGATGACATCGGTGTACCACTGAGGGAAGTTCTCATCCTTTTTGCACTGCAGTGCGAGCAGGGTCTCTCCCTTTTTGCCGCCACCGCCGCCACCTTGCTTTTTGCCGCCTTGTTGCTTTTGCTTGTCACCGCCACCTTGCTTTTTGGGCTGCTGCTGCTGCTTCTTGGGGGCTGGAGCTGGAGCCGCTGCTGCTGGGGCACTACCAAAGTCGAGAATCGTGGGTTCGACACCGACCGATTTCAGAAAAGCCATCATGGCGTCCGGGGTCATGCTGACCGACTTGTCATTCTGCATGGGATGCGAATGAATCTTGGCATACTTGCTAGTTGTTGTCAATGTTTGATCCAATACGAGCGTGACCTTGTCGTCTCCTTCGGGCTTGGCCAAGGCAGCACAGAGCGGCCCCACACAACCCGGCTTGACTTGAAGCTGTTCCATGAGAGTTTTTTCGTCGGCCATGCGTAGATTGGTTTTTCCTTGCAATCCGAGCAATTTTCCGAGCTCCTTGGTCTGGACCGGGGTGGTTTCCTTGGCGTTGGTGGCGACGGTGACGAGGAACATTCCGTGTTTTTTGTCGCGCAAGAATAAATTCTTGGTATGAGTTTCTCCATCGGCCAAGGGAGCGTTGGCGACCAACTCTTCGGCAGTCTTGGACAAGGGATGATCGTAGACGGAAAATTCCACTTTGTGTTGCGTGAGTAGATTGATGATTTTGTTATCGTCGTCGCCACCAGCAGCAGCAGTAGTAGTAGTAGCAGCAGGGGCAGCAGCAGCTCCCTTGAGGTTACCCTTCCACTTGCCCCAGGACATGGCAGCTGCTCCATCGACCACGGCTTCCAATTGTCCCAGGACAGTCTCCAACCAAGCAAATGTTTTGTCGGGCCAAGTAAGGGTGGTGTAGTGTTCCAAGGCAACCACCGTCAAGGGAATGGCGACGCAGACATCGGCGGCCGTGGGAGTATCGCCGACCAAATAGGCATGATTGGAAGACTTCAAATGGCTGTCAATCTTGTTCAGAAAATCTTGGACGGTTTCGAGCAACAGATCTCCCTTGCTTTTGTTGCGTAGAATGGGAAGGAGTGTCTGTTCACTGGCTTGGATCCAACTCTCGACGAGGAATCCAGTACTTCCATTGCAAGCGGCAGAATCCCAGAGATCGGTACGTTGAGCGAGTTGTCGGACACACCCCAACAAGGAGACAGCAGTGCTCTCGGTAGTCTTCTTGGTGAAAGCGTTGGTCACGGTGACATTCAAATCCAAGGCACCGTCTTTGGCTTCAAAGGTCACGGGAGTATCCGTGAGTTGACTCACAACGGCCAAAATATCCTTGTCACAGGATGGAATGGACACACGACACTTGATGGTAGTACTGGTGGTCACCATGGTAGATTTTTGCTTGATTATTTTATCGTTGGATTAACTCTTCCAGGTAGATAGATAGATGGCAATTAATTTTGCACTCGAGGTGTTCAGGTTTGAAGCTCTCCTGATTTTATGTCACTGAAGAGAGTTGTGGGATGTTTCAGCCGAGCAGCCGATGAAAGGACATGTTTGGGTCTTCGCCTTCTTTTCTTTCTCACTCCGTCTGGTCTTGGTATCCAAACCGTTGGATCTTGGGCTCTGAAGCTTCCACGTGGATCCTCTGTCCGTCGTCCAACTCTTGCGGGAGTAATGACAAGAACCCTTCGAAACAAAGCTGCCGATCGATGCATGAGTGGTAGCACTAGTAACACTGTGATATTGAGAAAGAAGTGGTCAAAAATATGCCGTAATGGTGGATATTTGCTTGCCCGAAGCGCCATGGTCGGCGTTGTTTTTCTTGTTGTGAATTGTCAATCACGAACATTTGAATCATGAGCCTGAACCCTTTCCATCATTGATTCCTCGCCGCGCCGAGCCGAAAGATCTCGGTGTCACGGTTTCAAACCTCATTTTTTTGCACCTTATTAGCTCTCAGCCTTCCCTCTTCACAAACTCTGTTATCCGGCACCGGCATAACACAATTGGAATCAAAGAAGAGGAAGAAGAATGAACAACAAGAATGCAGCCCCGTTCGTCAGGATATTGCAAGCTCGGATGCAGCAGGCACGAACTGAGAGACGGTTGACTCCTTCTATCATTGCCGTCATCATTGTCCCCATCTCGGTGGCCGTCATCCTTATTTGTGTGGCCATGCTATTTGTCGGTGTCGAAAAGGAACTGCACCAGTCGCATATCTTATCGCCAATGCACAATCAAGAACAGTTATTGAAACAAGCCATGCAACGAGCCATCGAACGGCATCAAGCACAAAATAATGCTACCGCTCGACTGTTATTGCGAGGAGGAGGACAACAACAAGACGACAATCATCCGCAGACCACCACCACTACCAATAACGAGAAGGAGGAATCCATGGAGAGTTTGCGCCAAAGATTAAAGCCTTCCATTTGGACGGTAGCCGACAAGGCTAGCGATCCGGCCGTGACCAAACTCGTGTCGGAAAAGCTGCTCACGGCGGCCGAAAAAGAACAAGGGCTCCGACTGTGTGGGAAATTTTTGTACTCCAGCATGGAAAAAGCCGTCCAAGTCGGTGACTTGGGAGAACATACCTTTGTGGCCACGGGAGATATTGACAGCATGTGGACGCGGGATTCTGCCGTCCAAATGGGCATTTATGTGGGGCGAATGGGACGACAGCAACCCTTCCTGCGACTTGTCGTCCAAGGCGCCATTCGACGGCAAGCCTTCAACATTATTCAAGATCCATACGCCAATGCCTATTCCAGAAAATGGAAGGATCCATCGGCACGACCACTCCGAGAACGTGTCATTGGACGGGGAGGATGGGTCGATACACGCAATTACGAAGTGGATTCTGGGGCCTACTTTCTGACGCAACTCTACGACTATTATGTTGCGGAGCATCTGTATCGACCGGAAGTACTCTTGGCCGAACCCATTATCTTTGATGCCGTCATGCTCATGGTACAAACCTATATTGTGGAGCAGAATCATGAAACCAACAGCCCCTATCGCTATTTTGAACTGCCCGAAGGAGGCAAGGGTTCAAAGACGGGGTATACGGGCATGACATGGTCCGGTTTTCGTCCTTCCGATGACAAGTGCCAGTACGGATACCTCGTACCATCCAACATTCATGCTGCGGCTGGACTGGAACGGGTATTGGAACTCAACAAACGCATCTGGAAGTCGGAAGATTTGGAAGCCATGACCTCCAAACTTTTGCGAGAAATGGAAGAAGGAATCCGAAAGTATGGAGTGGTCGAAGTTCCGGCCCGATCCGGAACAGGAATGGAGAAGATTTATGCGTACGAAGTGGATGGACTTGGAAAGTCTCTGCATGACTTTGATGATGCCAACGTACCCTCATTGTTATCCATTCCCTTGCTGGGATGGTCTGGCTACGATCGCGAGATATACCAAAACACTCGGGCTCGATTGCTGGATCCGAAATTCAACAAATACTACTATCAAGGAGAGACTTTGCGAGGAATGGGATCCCCTCATACACCTGTGAAGTATGTCTGGCCTTTGGCACTGAGCATTGAAGCCCTGACTGAAGAAGGGCCTCCCGACCATCGCGCTCAAGCCATGGCATTTCAAGTCCAACAATCCCTGAAATCGGCGTGCAACGATGCCATGCACGAAGGTGTAGACAGTAGACGAGGATGTCCCTTGTATACCAGGCCGTGGTTTGAATGGGCCAATGCCATGTTTGTTGTCTTGATCGAGACGGCACTCGGAGAACGATGCGATGCTCAGGGAAAAGCTCTGGCGCTACAAACGGCGTTGGAAACTGCCACCCAGGGGAAGCCCGTAGGTCCTGGTTCATTCTTTGAAAACAAATTCCACAATGATCACAAGGTACCTGAGTTCTACCAGGGAATTGAAGCCAAGGTCAAGTATGTATCTTAATCAAGGTTGTCGTCCTGCTTCACGAGTGTGATGTTTATCAATTCATTCTAGCTGGCCAGCTGCCTTTACACGTGCTATTTGCAGCGTACAGGAGAAATTTCATAGCCGAGTACCGTACCGGCAGTACCCACTACAAAGCGTTTTCCATACCATAGCTTGACGACACCTCGAACCTCACAGCCCCTGGCATGCCACAAGGTCGCAAGGCCCATGTAAGGCTGGGCGAATAAGAAGGGAGGTCATTTTTCTGTCCGTCGTCGGTTTTCTGCGGGATAGGCAAGTCGAGTTCAGTCGAGATAAACACAAAAGAAGTTAGACACACTTCAAACATGCCGTTCGCAGTAACAATAGCATGTCATTGTCTCTGTTAACTTACATTAGACTGCCAACAAGTAACAGTATTATCTAGCTAGCTTCCACTGTGGCTGCTGTGGCCATTCTAGCTGCTTCTGCCGCTGACACCTTTGTCTTTGTGCGTGCGGCTCTTGTTGCTCTCGCTGCCTCTGAGTTGGAACTAACCTTGTTCCGACGTTCTAGGCCAGGATCCTCGTTAAACCACTTGATGGTTCTGCTTTCTGGTGGAATGAGTGGCCTCCATTTGTCATACAACTCCACCCACTTGATGTCGGCAATGCCAGGAGGGGTAAGGAGAGTAGGAGAACCTTCGAAACCAACTGGTTCTTTGAAGCACGTCCAATCCCCACTCTTGATAGCCTTCCTCCAGTTGGTTGGACGATGCTTCAACCTTGTCAGTAACTGAGGATCTTCTCTGGTACCATCGAAGGTTCTCACAAACATATGGTGCATGCTCCTTGTTGCATCAACCTCGAAGCAATGGTTCTCTGATACCAGTTTCACAGGGGCCCAATACATGTTCAAGTAACTATCCCAGTCATAGAAGTCATGATCCTTGCGCACACGGATCGGACTGATGTCCTCCCTCTTCATTGTCTGGATGAGTTCCTCTGGAGTGAATACGTTGACTGGTAAGAATAAGCAGTGGGTGAGACGTATTCATTTCAGTTTTCAGAGAAGACAACCATGTCGCTTACGTTCTGTATTCCTTTTTCATTAGGTTGAACATCCGGTCACAGTCGTTCTTGGTGTGTCCCTTGATAAGAAAGGTTGCGCGAGCTTTGATACAGATGCCTCTATTAACCAGGATGTACAGGAGACGAATGACCATTCGATTCTTGTTCTGTCCTGGACAGTTGTCGAAGAAGAAGTTGATCTCTGGCACTGGTTCGTGGAGATCGAAAGCTCTTTGGACACCAACTCCAGAGATAAGTCCATCTTGAATCAAAAGATTGGTCAGCAAACTAGCAACGTTGTTTCCTCCCTTCTGTCCTTCTCCTTCGAGATAAGTGTATGCGTACAGATGCTGGAGACTGCAGTCGACCACACCAAACACATAAGCCCACAATGGAGAAAGATAATAGGTCTCGCCAGGTTGTTCTTGGCCAAAGTGAGGGACATCAATGTTCTGTGCATAGTCGCAGACATAGGTGATGACTCGATCCTTCAAAGGTTTGTCCTTGTCGCGAACAGCTTCCTCTTTTTTCAAGTTGAAGAGAGCTCGCTGTCGTCTTGCCATCTCCACATGCATGGACGCTTCCAACACTGTATCCTCCATCGCTTTGATTGCTTCGAACCTGTCCTGAATGTGTGCATACGGATCAACCATTGTCAGCGCCTTCTCAACCATCATGTCTTCTTCTTCACTGTCAGGTTCCTCCTCCTCATCATCTTGGTTTCCTGCTGTCTTCTTCTTCTTGGCAGGGGTGGTGGAAGGAGTTGCATACTTGTGCTTGTTGGCGAAAACATAGCAGTCGCCGCAGATATCCTCACTTGGTCGCTGGATCACAAGCTTGGAATATTGTTTCTTCCAGAAGACTCGGAAGGTACTCCATGCTGGTAATTCGCTCGCGGACACTTTCTGTTCTTCTCCTGTTATCTCGACCTTCTTAAGGAGTCGGCCTTTGTTGTCCCACTGTATTTTCCAACCAAGTCCAGCAAGGAACCTGTTGTACAGTCCTCGCTTTGTCATGGAAGATGGAAGTTCAACAACATCCTTCTCTTCTTCCCTGAGTTCCACCAACGTGTTCAGACCATCTACCATCTGCGTACGGACAATCTTGGTTGCACGAGGCAGGGCATATTGTTGCATGTCCTGGAAGAATGCATGCAGGAGATCGTGCGACTTATTGTTGATCTTGTTCCCCACCTTTCCTTTGAGTTGGTGGACCGGATCATGACCGGATTTCACAAGCTCCACGATGGCTTTCCATCCCTTTTGTCCGTAACCGATGAGCTGGCAAAGAGCATTCCTGCATATAAATCGAGTTGTGGAACCAGGTAGGAGGAACACTCGAGTTGAAGTCATTCGGTGATGCCCTTGGAACAACAGTTGCGCGGCCATTCCAGACCTGACCCATTCTTTAGAATTCGCTTTCTTTCTGCAAAGTCCAACTTGCAGAACACAAACAAAGCCTTTGCGCTGGCTTCAACCTCATCATCATCAATCTGATCCGATAGGTCATGCAGGCAGGTGCAACTTGTTTTCCTTCCGGGCTTGTTGATCAAATCAAAACAAAATGGTTTGTCCAAGCTCGCGAAGATGTAATCCGTCAGTTTTTGGAGCGTTCCTTCCTCATTCTGCTCTAGCTCTCTTGCTTGCTTCGAACTTAGGTTGGCAACAGGACTTCTGAACAGTCTAACAGGTGCGATAGGTGGCGTAGCGGGCCCGTTGGTGGTGTTTTCTTCGGCCATTGTCGCCTCTTTCTGTCACCGTGGACGCAGTTTGTGAGAAAGAAAACATCGAAAATCGAAACGTGACTCGCAGTCCCAAGCTCTTTCGACTCAATTTTTTTGAGTCGACTGGCTGGAACGCTGGCATCATTGGTCGCGTCGAGCCTGTCATATGATTAAATAGGCTAAAACGTTAGCTTCTATCGGCCCGTGGACTATGCAACCTTCATGTACGTATATCTTAGATTCTAAATAATTTTTCGCGTTTTATGGTGTAGGGGCAAAATCCGGGTTCCCTCGGCGACGTACAGACGCCATTGCCGACCATCCTATTCGCCCAGCCTTATGTGTTGGTACGGCTGCGTGATGTGTATGGTGTAGCAATGGCGTATGGATGGGGACGGTACGCTACCTAGCGAGCTCACTGCGGGTCGCTGAAAGGCCGTGTTCATCACCGCCAAGCAACCAATCGAACACACAAACAAAAGCGCCGCCACCGCTGCGAACGGAGTGGACTTCGGTCTACTACAAGTGCAGCAACGGACCCCACACATCAGGCAAAGGATGTCAGGTTCCAGTGGATTTAAAACTAGAGTGCACTAAGCCAACCAGCAGTATTGATGTCCATGTGAGACAGAAACATTGGGAATGGCATGTCATGGTCTTATTGCCACTGTCAAGAAGCTTACTTGGGAAGCCCTCGGCGCAGTAGCAAATAAAACTACTAATCTTTGTGTCAATCAATCGATCTGCTATGGAGATTCCTAAACTTAGATTATTCCAGCCCATCCCAATCACTGGACACAGCACCCTTCTTGGCAAGAACTGGCCCCATCACTGGTGATTCCCATGGCAGTAGCTATCTACTACTTGCATGCGCTGGGAGTTCCGCACATTGGACTTTTTATTTGTCTCTGATTGCTGGGGCTCACATTACAGTTGTAGTACCGTATCAAAAAGGCTGGAAACTTGAAACTTAATGCCGGTGATTACATGATGTATGGAATTGCCTTGATCAGCCAGCGTTGCGCCAACAGCACAGTTTTCGCGGAATCGATTGGACATATAGCTCTGACTTCCTTGCCTGAGATAGAGGCAAAGTTCTTGCTCCTCCTGCATTGAAGCCGGGACATTATACTAGCCCAGGTGTCAATGTCCTTGTCCGAGATCTTTCTCCTCCTGCATTCAGGCCGGGACACCAGGGGATCACTCACATTGCATTTATTTCTTGTAGCAAAAAGCCTGGAAACTACATTCCGGTGACTATGGAAATCCTTTGAGTGTTGCCTAAAGCAACCAAATCAACACAGAGGATACAATTCTATCTGTCTACTAGCTAGCTAGAGTCAAAGTTCTTTCTCCTCCTGCATTGAGGCTGGGACATTGGAATACATGTAGCCCAATGGCCTCAACTCTCTTCCCCGAGATCTTAGTCCTCCTGCATTCAGGCCGGGACATTACCTTTCCGATCAGTTGCATGTTCTAATGCCAACACTGGTACCGGTACGTACCGGTACATGCATCGATGACTCTGATCCCTGGGGCTCACATTACAGTGCTTGGATCAAAAAGCCGGAAACTACATGCCGGTGATTATGGACGTCCTTTGCTTGAGTGTTGCCTAAGCAAACCAACCAAATCAACACAGAGAATACAATTCTATCCTCTACTAGTAGCTAGCTAGAGGCAAAGTTGTTTCTCCTTCTGCTTTGAGGCTGGGACATTGGAATACCGGTACATGTAGGCCAATGGCCTCAACTCTTTTGCCCCACTCGTACTTCTTTCTCCTCTTGCATCCAGGCGGGGACATTAGTCTAGCTCAGTCAGTTAGTGGTACTACTGTAGTTTCCTGGCCAATGCCAACACTGTTATGGTACTCGTACCGGTACACGTGTACCACCCGACGTTTCGGTACATGAGATTGAGCATCAGGCATGTGATGACCCATAAGTGACTCTATGACTAAACATTGCCATTTTTTGCTGTTTTTCATTTATGATTGTGCTTCTCCTTCTGGTCTTCTTCTTCTTTGTGATGACCTCCATGCCAGTTTTTGATTGTTCTCTCATGTTCTCCGCGGCCACTGGTGTTTTCCATTTAAAATGCTTTCCTTTTCTTTCTTGTCTTATTCCTTGTGATGACTTCAATGCCAATTTCTTGTAGCCTTCATTTAAATCTCTGCTCTTCTCCAGTTCTCTCCAGTCATTCAACCAAACCGTCAGCTATCTCAAAAGATTAGCCTTGGATAGAAGATACCCAGTACATGTACCGGTAGGGATATGACCATTGACCATACCAAAGATCACATCACGAGAGCTCTGCACGACGAGCACATACGTACGGTACCGTACAGAGAATGGATCACAGTCTCATCGTAACGGTACCTCCCGATCGATCTACCGCACACGAAAACACGTTTCATCCTAGTTCCTGCTAAAAGGATGATCCAGTTTCATACATTTCAGCTCAAGATCCTGTGAGACAGTTCCATCCAATCTGGACCTGTTTTGACCGCATTCTTGTGTGTATGGTAGAATGCCTACAATGTGTACCGCACACTTCTGGATTTCTTTCATGCCAACTTCGCGCTTCAATGATGATACCTGGTACCGGTAAAAGCAAAAAAAAACAAGTCGGAGATCGATAGCGTGCTTCTGCTCGTGTGACTGCTAAAAGGTCCGGAGTACAATAGTATCTTAGAAACAAGGGCGAAGCATAGCAAATTCGATTCCAAGCAGTTTCTAACGGCCTGAATCTTACAAGCTTTCCAAGCTTGGCTCCAAAATTACATAGCCGAGCATGGGGTGAACGGCTTCAAGTTACGAAGAATTTGCAGAACCGTTGGTGGTACTGCCGTACAGCAGTACTTCCCATGTGATAGTGCTTGACACTTGACACCGGATCTTGGTTCGCTTTGCAGCTGATGGTATTACCGAAGCGGTTTCGCCTTCCCAGTCGGAGGTTTCGGTTTCCACCCAAGCACGAACAAACAAGGCGCAGCTGCAACCAGCCTCTCTTGTCATACATCATACATAGTTACGAGTATACCCTTGCTAGTTATCGTACCGGTCAGGGCTACTAGCTTGCCTCTCTGCTCTCACCAAATCTCTCATTATCACAACGGGCGCACCCATCACGGTTTCTGCCACTTTGTCACTCCTTCTGCAATTATTACATTCTTCTTCTCTCGCACCACAAGGGTTCTGATTTCGCGAATATTCATCCCACCATGGCTCAACCATCAGACTACAACTCAGCATCGTCGTCGTCATCATCCTCAGTGGATGGTCGTCCCTCGGGTCGATTGAACCATCACCAGCCGGCAGCCCGTCAGGTTCCAGCTACCCGATTGCCGGTATTGTTCTTGGCGGGTGTCCTGCTCCAATGCTACTCACTTATCCAAGGCCCATGGATGGCATTTCTGTTGTGGGGAAACTCCTTCCAACAAGACACGACAGTAATGACCAGCACAACTTTTGACCTGTGGTTGCTGAGTATCTTGGCTTCCTTTGCTCGATCTCTGATGGCCATGGTTCTGTTGGTGGCGTTTCGGCAATTGATGGCTACCCCCAACCCACACAACAACAACAGCACTGCTAAAATGGTACAAGACCTGTGCTTCCACGTACAATGCCGGTTCTTTGTCAGCTCCATCATGTGTTTGCTACCCCGTAGCATCCCTCCGGCGGTAGTCGATTTGGCAGTCTTGGCGGCGTCTACCTTGAATCAACGAGTGGTTCGTCAGTATTTGCATTATCCTTACACAAGTCTTACAACACGACAATCTGGAATCACCCGGTAGAGGGAAAGGGAAAGCAGATTCTGCCATGAAACCATGGGAGCTCCAAGATGACAACAACAATTTTTTTTTTACACATGCATTGACAGTCATGGCCAGACCGACTTCTGACCTGGGTTATACTAGTGGCGACAGCCACAATGGTTCTGGAAAAGGGAAAGGAACATTCAGAATCCAAACACTTGGGCTCGTGCAAAATCTGGTCAATCTACAATTTTTTCATGCTCTACATGTTGTTGTTGGGATGCCGGCAATTTCGTTCCTGGATATTCTATCTGCTCAAATCGAGAGATATCTAATGAAACCCACCTGAAAAGACAACAACGCACGGCTTTCCTTGCCCCAAAAGGGAGAGGCAGCGCAGATACTACGCTGTGTCAACTATCTCGAGTTGCATATTATTTTATATATGAGCGGCCACGCCAAGCCGCAACAGCTTACACATAGAAATCCAGTAATGGCAGCTGGTCTAAATAGAACATACATGATACATTACTAAACTAGAGTTCAATATAAACCAATACCGCGTCAAGCCGTGGGTGGCTGGCGGCGTGGCCATGTTCATGTGTTGCCAAGGATTGCTTGGCTCCATGGGTGGTGGCTGGCTTCACCAAGTCAACCTGATTGACGAGGGACAGGCCGCCCTGGAGCTGTTTGGTGGCGGCTTTCTATCCCTCTGGATGGCTGGCTACCGGGTACCGCAGGCAATCTAGCCAGAGGCGCAGGTGCAGCTACGGTACCGTACGTGCAGTGGAACAATCCGTTCAACCAACACCAAAAGATTTCCACCAACCACTACTGGGTTCTTCCTTGCCGTGTTCGCTTCCGGATCCGGCTGTCTAGATAGGTGGTGATAACTGTGCCGTAACGTTCAAGGCATCCATATTCCTTCGCTTCATTGCATTCTGCCAGCTCCTTGTACCGTGCTGCTCGACTTCCTTGACACTGGTGTGACATCATTCCACCTTCTAAAGTTTGTACCACATACATGTATCTTTAGAAGGTACTATTAATAGTAGGTCGTGTCCCCAAATACCGGTATCCGTGACTGTCACTTGACTCGACTCATCCGAATCATTCGATTCGAATCGAATCGAATCCTTCGAATTGAATAAATTTTTGAATTTTCGGCACTCGATCTCTCACTTTTTCGGGTTTGCTCCGAACCTTCTCCAAACCAAGCGACGTCTTTTGTTGTTGTCATCCTCCTTGTTGTTGATCCTGTTGCTCTCGCTCTCGCTCTTTGCATTACAGATTCGAAGAAACCATGTCAGCGTATGCTCGTGCGGCGCTGCTCACTAGTGCCATGCATCCTGTCCAGAGAAGCAACCAATCGCGTTCCTCCTCCACTTCGAGAAATCAGCGAACGAGAGCCACGGCAGCTCACGCCAACACCCCGAGGCGTACCAAGAGCGCCTCCTCTGTTTCTAGTAGAGGACGATCGTTGTCGGCTTCCTCCAAAGCGACGACCGTGGCTGTTCAAAATGGGATGGCCCAGCAGAATCGTGGTCGGCAGCAAGTTCTCCAGAAACCGCGTCAACAGCCGCAAGTACAGCTGCAACAACAGCCACCTCGAACGATTCAAGATCTCGGAGGAGATGTCGGGTGTTCGCAGTTGACCATGAATTCGAGCGACTATTCGGAAAACGCCGAAAACGTTCCCATGCACCAAGAGCAGCAGCATGTTGCGCCTCGTCGTGGATCGATTTCCTCCTCTTCCAAGAGCACTCGACGTCATGCACAGAACGTCAATCCCAAGGCGGTAGGACAGATGCATCCGCAGCAAAACCATGCTCTTCGCAGCGACACGCCCATCAACGCGCAGGGACGGTACCAAATGGGTCCTTCTACGTCGCACCACCGACCACTCCAACAGAGCGTTTTGACTCGGTTGAACGAGACTCCAATGGCGCCACCAGGCAACCGACCAGCGCGCAAGATGGCCAATGTGACTCTCCTTGGGCATCGGGAAGAGCGTCGTCGAAGACATGGCAGTGGCTCTGTAGCGAGCAGCAGCCATGCGGGAGCCTCTGTAGCGAACAGCAGCCATGTTAGAGCCTCTGCACCAACCAAAGAGGAGATCAAGGCCATGCTGGAGGAGATGCTCGCGGGACACGAGGCGAAAAAAGACACAGAACTCGAAGCAAGCGTGGGGGTCTCTGTACCAACCAAAGAGGAGATCAAAACCATACTGGAGGAGATGCTTGCGGGACACGAGGCGAAAAAGGACAAAGAACTCGAATCGAGAGAGAAAGAACTCGAAGCGAGAGAGAAAACAGTCGAAGAGTGGGCGAAGGAAGTCGAAGAGAAATCGCAAGAGTTCCAAGTCAACATGCAAACACGAGAAGAGTCTCTTGACCAAAAGAAGGAGGAGGTACTCGAGGCAGTGAAAGAAACCAAGGAAATGGAGTCGAAACTGCAAGAATTCAAGGCCAGATTTGAAGATTCTGTTGACCGAAAGAAGCAAGAGACGCTCGCGGCGGTGGAAGCAACCAGCAAACAGGCCTTGGAAACGGTCCTACGAGCCAAAACGCAGGCTGTGGAAGTAGTGGACGATAAGAAGGAATCGATCGATCGAACTCTTGACCAGCATCGCAAAGAGATGAAGGAGAACACGGACACCAACAAACGTCTGGAGGAACGGGTAAAAGGTCTTGTCGAGGAATCCAAATCATGGTTCCATAGAAGTGTGGACGTTGTAACTGCCATGTTTCGTCTCAAGAGACCCATTGAGTCTTCCACTGAGGATGACGATGAATTCGTGGAGCGCCCCAAGAAGAAGACCCGTATCGAAATCTCGGACAGCTCTGACCAAGAGTCCTCAAGCAACGAAAGCGACAACCCCATCGCTGAAACCGCCAGCGGAGATTCGGAAACCACGTTCCATGCGCCGAAGGCGGAAGTGGCTGCCCAGAAGAAGGCGGTGGCGGAAGAGAGCAAGCAAGCCGCAGCCATCAATACCTCTGCCTACCAAGGTGGGTCCGCCGCACCGAAACCAGAAGTGCTCACCCAGACGAAAATGAAGGTCCCGATGGAAGCTAGCAAGAAGTCCGCGGCCAACAATCGCTCACTTGCAAAAGACACCAGCGACAACGCTGAGATTCTCAAAAGCAAGTCCTCCGCACCGAACCCAGTGGTGCCAAAACCATCTGTTGCGGCCCAGAAGGAGGTTGTATCGACTGAAGTGAGCAACAAAGCGACCGCCCGCAACGATGGAGCTGCAAAGGGCAAGGCCGTTGCGCAGAAACCAGTGGCTTTAGACCAGAAGAAGCGGACAGGTGCTACGGAATCGAACAGCCAAAAGCCGCGACGGAGCCAGCGTCGAGCAACGGCCGCCCACGTCGAATACAACGAGAACAATTTGTTCCGAGCCCAAGGGATCCAGATGCCAGGTGCTATTCCCAACAAGAAGAAACCAACCGGGAAGGCCCCTCGTGGTAACGTTCCCAAAAAGAAGAGCTCTTCTCAGGTTGGCAAGAAGGCCAAGAAGCTGTTTGCGCCATCTGGGGGAAGCGGTCGCAACGATACGACCGGCAGTTCTCCGTCTAGTGGATCATCCGTGAGCCTAACGGCGACCCAAACAAAGGAAGTGCAGAGCGAGAAGAAAGCGACCCACAAGGTTCGCATCAACGTCCGTAAACAACCGCCCAAGACGAAGACCAAGAGCGAACCACCCAAGACGAAAAAGAGGAGCGGCAGCTCGGAGTCTGAAACCTCGGATCCTTCGAAAGCCAAGAAGAAGAAGGCCGAGATCCCAGAGGTTGTGTTCAGTCATCCCAAGCGAAACGCCAAAACGCCCCACCCTTCATCTTCCCAGACAGATTCGTCGGAATCGACACTTGGCTTTGACGATCCAACTACTGCAGGCCGAAAGAAGAAGGCTCGTCGTCGAAAGCAATCTCGTGGCTCGTCAGCACCTACGGATGAAGAGATTGACGGTTTCAACTTTTCCGGGTAGGGCTATGCATGTTTTGTAAACAGCAGCAGATGACGAATGAATGAATGAACTCGATTTAGGGGCTGCGTGTCAACTGAATACGAAGCGCACGCAGTGTGTTTCTATTCTTGCTGCCGCTGTCCAGAGCACTCGATATTGGAAGATGGGGTGTGCCTATCATTGTGACAGCAGATAGAAACTAAACTAACCAGACATCAAAAGGGACAAGTGTAGCTAGCTGTACAATCCACTTGGAGTGATTCGTTCAAGCGATATTAGTACAAAGCCAAAATGTGTCTCTAGTAGGTTCGCAAACTATGGATGCTCTTCAAAGATCAATAACAATGGCCTTTGACAACTCCAGGCATCACACTCATCAATAAGTGTCCACAATGGATAAATTCCATCCTTCTACTGTATCTATAACTTCTTGATTCGCTCATCCAACTGTTGCATATTGTTTTCAATCACTTTGACGTTCTCAGCCATTCCAGTTTCTGCCTTGGTAACAGTTTCCTCCAGTGATTTGACGACAGCCTGGAGTTGAACCATTTCTTGTTCACTTTGCGTCAATCGAAGAGCGTAGGTAGATGACTGAGCATGAAGATTGGCCAGTTGCTGCAGCCGTGCTACCAGAGCGGGCAAATGTCCCGACAAACCCTCCAATTGGGACATTTGATCATAGAGGGAAGAAATGGTCTTGGCATCTTCCTTTCGAAAAGTGGCAGCCGACGCCAATTTATTTCGTGCCTTGCTGGCTGCTTCTAGATCGGATCGAATAACTTTGGCTTTAGCAGAAGCTTGTTCCAGTCCTTTGAGATCAAGACCCTTCAAGAAGGCCTCCATCTCTTCCAAACGAGTCAAAAGGGAAGTGCTCGTGGTGGTAGTGGCACCGCCACCCACCAGTTTTTCCACTTGCAGCAAACGTTCCTCCAAATCCGGTGACGTTGTAGCCACAGGTGCTCCAGCGGCCGCTTCTGCAGGGCTAGTTGCGTTTTTGGAAGCCTCCCATTCCTGCAATCGCATCTGGATGGACCGTGTCATTTCCTCCTGATTCTTGGCGGTGACTCCTGCTTGCGTCTTTAAGCGTTGCTGCAAATCGGTCACTACACCCATCAAAGCAGGTCCTCCTCCTCCCGCTTCTTCTGCAGTATTAGCAGAAGCCAAATCCTGCTCCAGTTCGGTAATCTCTTGTTGCAACCGGGCCAATCGTTCGGCTGGAGTTTCCGACTTGATAATGCCAGTGGTACTCTTGGGTTGGGCACTGCTGACGGGATAAACCTTTCCGGAGAATATCTCAAAGGCCACTGCCGGATTGGTGTCACCGGAATCCAACACAGTCATGTCACCATCGTCCACCTTTTCCAGCGTGGAGGGTCTCTTCCTGGGAGAAATGGTTGTGGGAGGCAAGCCATCACTCGAGAAGATAACTTCTCCTGCAGCCTCATCGGCGGCATGTTCTTCTGCCATTGTTATCTAAGAATCAGATACTGTGTAGTAGTCTAGATAGGATAGAGACTCTAATCAAACCAACGACGGGTATTTTTAGAGGGTAGCAATGATAGAGGGAAGGAATGAACGGTCGCTTTTTGGCTTGCTGCCATCGTCCATCGTGGCGGCTGTCGAAGATCCAATGGTCAGCCCTGCGTGTGATGATAGCGTTAGTGATACCGTAGGATATTCAAGGGGGGCAACGCACCCTTTTAAATTGATAAAGCTTATTAGACTAGCTACCGTATTCGCACAATAAGATTGCAGCCTGGATCTTTCGCATATCTTTGGGTCTGTCCTTCGTTCAGAGACACTTGCCACCAAGAACCGCAGGTTTGGCAATGCCAAGGCGAACCGTGCGCTGACAACTCCAATAGACCCACCAATTGAGATACCCCTCACAAACCAGCTTTCAGCTACGGAAGGAAGAGCTTTCCTTGATAATACAACTTTTAACGTTAATACACTACTACTTGATTGACGAACTGATTGAAGATGTCCTTGGCAGGCGCTGGCAAATTGGGTAGCCCCACCAGTACGTTTGACCCTTCGGGTCGTCGTCATCCCTGGCATCCTCCCGCCATTGATACCTCTAGCGAAATTGCCCAAGGCCAGTTGTTGATGAACAATACCTTGACGGGTACCAAGCAGCCCTTTATCCCTCTGAATGGACGGACCGTGCGATGGTATACCTGTGGCCCTACCGTTTACGATAGTAGTCATGTCGGTCATGCCCGAACCTACCTGTCATTGGATATTATGCGTCGCATCATGACGGACTACTTTCACTACAATGTCCTCTATCAAGTCAATGTCACGGATATCGATGATAAAATTATCGTTCGAGCCAGACAGAATTTACTGCTCGAAAATTTGACCAACGACGTGACATCCAACAAACTGTCATTGGACGACTTGAAGAGTCTCATCCAAACGGCCGTCCAAGAAGCCCAAGACAAGGCGGCCAGCAAAAAAGTCCAAATCGAAGCAGCTCTCAAAGAAGCCACGGAAAAATCAGATTCTAGAGCTCGTGTCGAACAAGAAGAATTGCTCAAGCAGCACCAAGTCAAACAAAAAAATTTGGCTGCCGATGTCACCAAAATCCAGGCAGCTGACAATGCCGACGCCAAGACTATGATTCAAGCTGCCAAGTCCGTGCTGGCCGACAAACTCGATAGAGAAAAGGGTCACGAGGTCACCGATCATTCTGTCTTTCTTAAACACGCGCGCTACTACGAGAGAGAATTCATGGAAGACATGAAAGCGCTCGGCATTAGAGAACCCGATGTCCTCACCCGCGTCACAGAGTACATTCCTCAAATCAAAGACTTTATTGCCAAAATCGTCGATCGAAACATGGCATACGAATCCAATGGATCCGTCTACTTGTCACTCGATGCATTTACCGCGTCGGGACACAATTATCGCAAACTCAGTCCGGCCGTGGCCGGAACCGAAACATCGGCGGCGGAATTGGCCGAATCGGAAGGTGCCCTGGCCAGTGGCGGGGACAGTGAAAAACGCAACACGAACGACTTTGCGCTCTGGAAATCCTCCAAACCGGGAGAACCCGCATGGGAATCGCCCTGGGGACCCGGTCGACCCGGATGGCACATTGAGTGCAGTGTCGTGGCCAGTGATATTCTCGGTGAAAACCTGGACATTCATTCCGGTGGAGAAGATTTGAAATTCCCGCACCACGATAATGAACTGGCGCAGTCCGAAGCCTGCCTCGGAAAGTGCATTGGGACGGGTGATGATCAAGAATGCCATCAATGGGTCAATTACTTTACCCACACGGGTCATTTGAGCATTGCAGGATTGAAAATGTCCAAATCGTTGAAAAATTTCATCACCATTCGACAAGCGCTGGGGGAGAATACACCACGGCAGCTGCGAATCCTCTTCTTGATGCAAGGATGGGATCAACCCATGAATTACTCCGATCAGACAGTCGATGATGCGCGCAGCAAAGAAAACACATTCAAGGCATTCTTTCGTGAAGTGGAGGCATTGAGTCGCAACGATTATCTCGACGACGAAATCGGATGGCGCATGCTAGACCAGGATAGAAAACTGGCCGATGCACTCTTGGACACACAACAAAAGGTACACGAATCGTTGTTGGATAATTTCAACACCAAGGATGCCATGCTCGCATTAATGTCCGTCATCAGTCAAGCCAATGTCTACTTGCGCATCCCGGACGTCAAACCGGCCGTCTTGACGCTCAAGTCCATCGCGGTCTATGTCACACAAATTCTAAAGGTGTTTGGTGTGGTCACGGGCAACGATGACTTTGGATTTGAAACGAGCGGGGCAGGAGAAGGCGACGATGGAGCTGCGGCCAATGCCGTGATTGACGTTCTGGTGTCCTTTCGAGAGCAGGTGCGAAACGAAGCATTGGCGGCAGTCAAGGCCAGCAAGGATGATCCGGCCGCTGCCGCGAGGGCGATTCAGAGCATTCTGCAAAACTGCGATTTATTGCGAGATGAAGTAATGCCGACAGTGGGGGTCCGAGTGGAAGATCGAGCAGATGGCTCACGTTGGAACCGAGAAGACCCCGCCACCATGATGAAGGAAATCCAGGAAAAGAAAGCCAAAGAGGCCGCAGTCAAAAAAGACAAGATGGAAAAGAAGCTCGTCGCGAAAGACAAGGAATTGAAAAAGCTGCAAGAGTCCATGGTTGCCCCTGACCAGCTGTTCCGAAAGACGGAGGAATACAAGGAATGGGATGATAGGGGTGTGCCAACAGTCAACGCCGATGGCAGCGAAGTCAGCAAAGGACAAACCAAAAAATTGACCAAGGCCATTGACAAGCAAAAGAAACTCTATGACGACCTGATGGCCAAATCAGAAGGCACCCCGCAAAGTCTACTGGATGCCGTGGAAGCAGAGATCAAAACCATCAAGGAGGGAATAGCGGCACTATCCATTTAGCAAATGGTGCTGTCACTGACAATCACTAGCGTGGTCTTTGGGGCTCTTTTTCATCTATTGGATGTCGCACGAAGTAATTTCGACTAGGGCTTTCTCGCACTTTGCTCTTCTCCCTCTTTCCCGTACATGTATCAAACACAGGAATGCTCCGTTCTTCGGATGGGTAGCGCGGACTTGCATCAAGCCTCCTGGTTGTCCCCGCTTCTTCGTGGTTCTGGAGCAAGTGCTGGGCTTCGCGAGGGGACTTGTTCATGTTCTCATTTTCGTGGTGATGCACCGTACTCATTCTTACCGTAGCCCTGGGGAATGGCTTGCCCTGCACTATTGATCGGTGTCTTTTGTTGGCACCAGGGTCACATAATCCGAGGACGAGTCCAACTGGCTTGATTTGATTCCGATACTGCATGTGCCTGGCCCTACTGGTACCTATCCCCAGTTCCATCATCTCTGTCTTCCAAGATTGCTCAAGGGAGTGGATGGGGCATGCTGTGATTGTGCAGTTACTATGATTCTTATAGATACTTATCCACTGCCCCACGAGTGCACTAGTATACAGGCATTCCATTGGATAATGCCACAATGCTAGTAGAGTCTGAACAGAAATGAGTCACAGGACAGAAAGGTGCTCCTGCTGGTAACTGTCCCTTTCCAGCTTCACTTTTCCCTGAACAGCAAAGCAGAAGATGCAAGATATAAAATCTCAGCATTTGATGTCCTTTCATCCAAGTGAGTGTAGTCAGGGGATGCATCCCACACAGGTGCCGTCAAAAATGTAGCATCCAAGAATTGAATATTCATTTCTTGGCAAACTTGTTTTATCACTTCATTGTATCCATTCATGGCCGTTCCTGTGCGCCAATCCTTTGGTGGACACATGACAGTAGAGCCCATCAATGCGTTTGTATGAACACTTCGAAAGAACAAGGAAAGCCCAGGTATGGCAGTTCTCACTGCTTGGACCATGTCTTTCAAGTCCTTGTAGTAATCTCCCAGTAGTGTTGGGTGCTTCCCATCATAGCTCGCAGGCCATTGAGTCACACCAATAATCAGGCTGCTGCAGTTTTTCTCTTTCATAAAGTTGATTTGTTTTACATGTGCAACATCGTGAGGATACCTTGCCTTGACCCACTCAGTTGTAATGTTGTAATTGTGTTTTCTTGTGAATCCCATTGCCCCAGCTGCTCCATATAGTCGACGGGCGTGACTCCATCCAGCAATGCAAATGGTGGTAAGGCTGGACTGCTGCACCACCTCTGCACTTGGGTGCTTCATGGAGGATGACCATTCAAACTCATAGTCAAGAAATCGATCCAGCTGGACCTGTTCATGACAAACCTGGGACAAGTTCTTCTTCTCCACAAATTCATGAAAGCACAGTTCGGGTTGCACTCGGGTCTGTAATGCAGTGGCCTTGACCTTGGCTGTCTTCTTCCAAAAACCAGGCACAACCTCACCATAAGTGTTGCCATTCTGCACAACTAGAATGGAGGCAGTCTTGCTGGTGAGTCGACCTTTCAATGGATCTTCAGTGCAGACAGGTTGAAAGTTAAAGGTCAATGGATTAGGTTCACCTGTAACCTTTAGTGTTGGACTTTTAAGGTTGTCTCTGTCCTCAAGTGCACTGCGAACCCCATAAGAAAAGTCATTGCAGTGGACAACCAGGATCTCCAAAAAATATTCCCCATTGTCAGGGACATTATAGGACCCAGTCATCACGCTACCACTATTTCCATTACCACTAGACCATGTCCAAGCCAACCGAACCAGGGCAGGCCCTGACAAACGACCCACTAGGTAGGGTCGGGGACAACGAGCATCAGACCGAAGTTCAACAACTACCTTGGATTGGTCTGGAAGGTGATACATGGAGGATATATCAGATGCCATTGAACCATCAGGGTTGTGTGCAATCTCCACTTTTGCAGTGTTGGATTCCAAAGCTTCCGCTTTTGAATTAGGCTGTGGGTCTTTGGAAGTGGCAGTCTTGACTTCCTCTGTGCCAGTTTCTGTGTTCGGCTGTTGGACATTGGCAGAAGTGTCCTTGCTGTGGTTCTGCTTTGCATTGTCCTGATTCTTTGCGTTGTCCCTGTTTTGATTCTTGGTTTCGTCATTGTCCTTTTGCTTCACCAGCTCCTCAGAATGTTTGTGTTCTTTTTCAATGGATTCCTTTTGCTTCAAGAGCTTCTCAGCATGTTTGAGTGCGTTTTCAATGGATTCCTTTTGCTTCAAGAGCTCCTCAGCATGTTTGAGTTCGTTTTCAATGGATTCCTTTTGCTTCAAGAGCTCCTCGGTGTGTTTGTGTTCTTTTTCAATGGATTCTTTCAGGTGGCTCTTTTCTTTTTCTAGTGCCTGCAGTTGTGTTTTTAGGTTGGCAATCATGCTGTCTTTGGATTCGAGTGTGGTTCTGGCGTTGGATTGTGCCAAGTCTCGTTCTTGAGTTCGCTCATGAACTTGCTTTTCTAAAGCATCACTATTCTGCTTGGCATTGTCCGCTTGCTCCCTCCAAAAGGTCAATGTTGTGTTACTCAACTCACTGTCATTGGACGCTGTGCAACCAGTGCTGCTGGTACCTTTTCCGGAATGATAGCTGATGGTTGTGGCGTTGTTCCAATAGCTTAGAGAAGTGGTGAGAACGACGATGTATACAATGATTCTCACGGCTTCACTGATGGCTCCTCTTTTTGGCCTGGGTTTTGGGGACGTCATGTTGCCTTTGTATTTTATGAGACGGAAAGTATGGGCAAAGTGAGCTCAACATCGGTGCCAGATGGTTCCAGGACCTTTGCGGAAAGGAGCGAAAGGCATTGGTTAATTCTCCTAATAGCTAGCTAGTTCCCTCTGCTCATGACGATTACCGTCATCTCCACAGAGGTCCAGCCAAGCAACTGATGGTCTTCCGCCAGGTGGTGTACCAGGCACAACGTAGACTGCTGTACTCGGCAGTATCCGGCAAAGATCACTCCTGCGAGCAATCCCAAGCCTCAGTCATGAATCGTGGGACTGAATCACTTTTACACCATGTCGTGTTCGATACGATCGACGACGGCGGCGAGGCACGAGGGGAGACAAAAACAACACAACACGAGCATGAAAAGACCAACAACAATACAAGAGGTAACCGTATGCAGCTTTAGCAACATCAATCCACAGAAAAACTAGTAACGAACATAAAGGGGAGAGGACCACAACAACACAACACGAGAAAAGGAAGACCCACAACAACACATGAGGGTACCGTATGCAGTTTTAGCAACGTCAACCCAAAGAAAAACTAGAAGTCGTTGTCACATCCACAGTGGCCCGTGCCATACCCTCTCAATGGTGGCTGGGTATGTATATACCGGTAGGGGTACCTAGTACCAAGGACGTTCTCTTCAGCAACAGTTTTCATTTTCAAAGGTTGTTTCTGGTTTCGTGGAGGTGTGGGTGTGGGTGTGCGTTTTTTCAATCCACACTCGCGAGGTGCTTTCAACCAGCAGAGACGCCGGCTGCTGCCTCTCTCACTCTTGTAAGGTGCCGTAACGATGACGGTTGTCTTTCTACGGTAGCGGTACCACCGGTACGGTACCAACACCGGCATATCCTTTGTTTGTGCATAGTACAGCTTCCCAGCACCATCCATTTACAACAGATGGTTGCAAGGTGGGAAGTAGATGGGAGATATGGAAGACCTGCATTACCACCGATGACCGAGAGCACCTGGAATAGTTGGTCAGGTTCATGTAAAAAGTAGTCCCCTAGAGAATGAGTTGCCTTGATTGACCCGTGTCTCTTGTTTTCTCAGGGTCATACAGTACGCCCTGTACAATCCGACGTCAAGTCACACTGGCTAGATTAGGTTGATTTGGTTTCAATACTGGATGTACCTTTGCCCACCTGTCAATACTCCACATCTTGGATGGCTACCTGTCCACAGTTCTATCATCTCCGTCTTCCAAGATCACCAAGGGGGTAGCTGGGGTATGTTGTGATTGTGCAGTTACTATGATTCTTATAGATACTTATCCACTGCCCCACGAGTGCACTAGTATACAGGCATTCCATTGGATAAAGCCACCCGCCTCGTAGAGTCTGAACAGAAATGAGTCACAGGACAGGTGCTCCTGCTGATACATTTCCCTTTCAGCTTCACTTTCCCCTGAGCAGCAAAGCAGAAGATGCAAGATACAAAATCTCAGCATTTGATGTCCTTTCATCCAAGTGATTGTAGTCAGGGGATGCATCCCACACTGGTGCTGTCAAAAATGTAGCATCCAAGAATTGAATATTCATTTCTTGGCAAACTTGTTGTATCACTTCATTGTATCCATTCATGGCCGTTCCTGTGCGCCAATCCTTTGGTGGACACATGATAGCAGAGCCCATCAAGGGAGTTATATGAACACTTCGAAAGAACAAGGAAAGCCCAGGTATGGCAGTTCTCACTGCTTGGACCATGTCTTTCAAGTCCTTGTAGTAATCTCCCAGTAGTGTTGGGCGATTCCCATCATAGCTCGCAGGCCATTGAGTCACACCAATAATCAGGCTGCTGCAGTTTTTCTCTTTCATAAAGTTGACTTGATTCACAACATCCAGAGGATACTTTGCCTTGACCCATTTAGTTGTAATGTTGTAAAGGTTTTGTGTTGGATTAACAGGCCTGAATCCCATTGTTGTGGATACATTGACAAGTAGACGGGCATGACTCCATCCAGCAATGCAAATGGTGGTAAGACTGGACTGCTGCACTGCCTCTGCACTTAGGTGCTTCATGGAGGATGACCATTCAAACTCATAGTCTAGAAATCGATCTAGCTGGACCTGTTCATGACAAATCTGGGACAAGTTCTGCTGTGCCATAAATTCATGGTAGCACAGTTCTGGTTGCAATCGGGTGTGTAACACAGTGGCCTTGACTTTGTCTGTCTTCTTCCAAAATCCGGGCACAACCTCACCATCTGTGTTGCCATTCTGCGCAATTAGGATGGAGGCAGTCTTGCTGGTGAGTCGACCCTTAAATGGATCTTCAGTGCAGACAGGTTGAAAGTTAAAGGTCAATGGATTAGGTTCACCTGTAACCTTTAGTGTTGGACTTTTAAGGTTGTCTCTGTCCTCCAGTGCACTGCGAACCCCATAAGAAAAGTCATTGCAGTGGACAACCAGGATCTCCAAGAAGTATTCCCCATTGTCAGGGACATCATAGGTCCCAGTCATCACACTACCACTTTTCCCATTACCACTAGACCATGTCCAAGCCAACCGAACCAGGGCAGGTCCAGACAAACGACCCACAAGGTAGGGTCGGGGACAACGAGCATCAGACCGAAGTTCAACAACTACCCTGGATTGGTCTGGAAGGTGATACATGGAGGATATATCAGATGCCATTGAACCATCAGGGTTGGGTGCAATCTCCACTTTTGCAGTGTTGGATTCCAAAGATTCCACTTTTGTATTAGGCTGTGGGTCGATGGACGTGGCAGTCTTGACTTCCTCTAAGCCAGTTTCTGTTTGTGGCTGCTGGTGATTTTTCTCAATGGATTCATTTTGCTTCAAGAGCTCCTCAGCATGCATGTGTTCTTTTTCAATGGATTCCTTTTCCTTCAAGAGCTCCTCAGAATGTTTGCGTTCTCTTTCCAAGGATTCTTTTAGATTGCTCTTTTCCTTTTCTAGTTCCTGCATTTGTTGTTTTAGAAGGTCAACAATCATGCTGTCCTTGGACTCCAGCGGTGTTGTGGTGTTGGTGTAACCACTGCTGCTGGTACTTGTCCCATTAACTTTGGTAGTGGTTGTGGCATTCACGTTCATCCAATTCAGTAGGGGGGTGCTCCAATAGCTTAGAGCAGTACCGGTAGTGAGAACAACGACGTATACAAGGAGTCTCACGGACTCCCTGATGGCTCCTCCCCTTGGCTGTTTAGCGAGCTTGGTCCTCATGGTGCCTATTGTTTTTTATTGGTAGATTAAGGTGTGAGCCAAATAAGCCCAACATCGGTGCCAGATGGTCCCATGCAAGGTCCTCACCGGCTGCAGCAAGAGTAACACAACATGGAGGACATCGGCAACATCGCAGTCAACAACATCGCAACCACAGCGCGTTTTTATTATTTCCAGCGAAGTGTGGTTGATGCCGGCTTTCTGGGAGTGACAGCCGACTCGACTGAGTGTGAGTCAACTGCCGTCCTCAGTCACTCCCATGGTTGTAAGCCAGGAAAGCGGTAATGTTTGTGGAAGCAGAGGGATGGGCTGAAGAGAGATGAAGAAGAAACTGCAAACAGCAAATTCTGATGGCCCAGTTGCCTGTAGAGGTTTTCGTTTTTTGCAACAAGAAAGAGAAAACCTGGGGCATGAGGCTTGCTCCAAAGAGTAACAAATTGTTATTAATTAAGGTTGTTCCCCTCTAGACTGTACCGCTTGACCGAGCCATAGAGGATCCGTATACCCCAGACGATAAAGGTGTCCACTTGGGAGATGAGGCTTGGTCCTAGTGACTCGACTCGGGGGGGGGGGGGCTCGTAGTATTGAAGAAAAGGACCAGCATCCTGGCATGAAAATCTCCAGATTGATGATGAGATGGTGAAAGTCAACAGCAATGAGGTGCACACATTTCGTGAAGTTGTCAAACAGATCCAAGCGGGCTCAGTCTCATGCTCCATCTCAGGCACAAGGTTCCACAACCACTTCCTTCTCCACCAGAGCTCTAAGATTGGGGTGTACCGGTACCGTATTCATTCAGCTGGAGACGTGAACACAAAATCGATACTGTCGATGTCCAGAGACAAGAGACATGCTTACAGATTTTGCACCTATTGATTCAATCGCGTGTCACACCTCCCGCGAGCCCCCCTCTTTGCTTGGTTTTGTCTCCAGAAGTGAAAAGTGGATGCAGCCTCGTGAATTTCTCTCTCACATTTCAGCATCCATCCTTAACTTCTTAGGACTGTCTCCAGCATGAGCGAGTGCAACAAACAAAGACAAGAGCAACTCGAAGCATCATTTGCCGATATTAGTGGATAGATAATAAAGATAAAGAGCGAGTTTCCTGCAGCAAAACGTTTCCTTTCGTTCGTTCATTCGATCGACCATGAGCCTTTGCCGTCGCATCTAGCCGTCGCATCTAGAGCCCACCATGACGTCCAGAGCGGCAAAGAAAAGAGCCGAGACAGATGAAGCTGTTCAGAATGCTGGAATGATACTCAAGCTCTCTAAGAAAGGAAGTGGAATTACTGCGCACTCGGCCCTTCGATTAGCAGGCATCTCCACGGAAGATAGAGCAAATCGCAACCTCCAGAGACGAGCCCTTCGGGCAAGAGACAAACTGGAAGATCAACGAAAGCAACTGGAAAATGACTTTGATGAATTGGCCATGGAAGAGTCCGACTCTGAAGACCTATCGCATCCATTCCCTGATTCACAGGAGTCCGTTATCCCCATCGTGCCAAAGCCTCCGGGCCGCATGAGAAGGACCAGCAAACAAGCTGCGGCACAGCGAAAAGCCAACGTTCAAGTGAAAGACTTGAAGGCAAAGCTCTTTCAGGATGCTGTCGAAGCTCTCCAAGAGGAGTGCGAGAAGGAAGAACAAGCACTTGCTGATGGAAAAACCTACAGGAAAAAGTCTGCCGAAACTGTTTGCGATGAGATCAACAGTTCACAGCTGGCCCGTGCTCATGAGATCAAGATTGTTGCACGTACTGTACGGATTGCCTTTGCAGAGAATCGAAAGCAGCTGCAGCAACGAGGTGAAGCTGGCAAGATTCCAGAGGAATATTTCGAAGCACTGTGCAATGCAGTCAAGTCATTCAGTCTCCTCTCAGTCCAAGATGGAAAGCAAGTGACCAATCTCCGGCCCAAGCTCGTCAAGATGGTGAATACCTGTATCAACAAGCTTGAGGGACAAGGCAGTCGAAAAGGAAGGAAGTTGTTTGATCGAGTGGAGTCCACGCTGGCAGGAGAACTCAATGTAGGCAAGCCAGATCGAATTGAGCAGCGGCGCAACCAATACTCTACATATGCCAACATCAACCAATGGTACAGCGGCCTCAAGGATTTCCTGATTGACAAGGGATTTGCCATAGCAGTCAATGACGATGGCAAGAATGAGCTCCAGTTTGTCAGCAGTGATCAAGATGCCCGTATTGCCAATTTGTATGAGTCAGCTCTTACCTTGGACGATACTGAGAATGGCAAATCAGGCAGGCCAGCCATGGGATTTTACAATCCTCGGACGTCAAAGGCTCCAACTCATGGAGCACATAAGAGTTCATGGAGATGCACTCTTGTTGCTGGCTGCTTTGCCTCTGGAGAGTCCTTTCCTCCGCACTTCCAACTTCCAACAGATGCCAAGGATCCAGACAATGAAGGAATCTATGCTGAGTTTGTTATTGACATGTTGGAAGTTTGTGCCAAGTATCTGTCCAATGAGGAAGGCACCCATTCGGCCACCTACAACGTCAACGAGAAAGGAAGCATGACCAAAGAAGAGTTTGGGGAATATCTTCTCAAGAATTTCTTTCCTCTTGTTGCAAGTGATACTGCTGATACTCCTGGTAAAAGAACGCTTCTATTGGTTGATGGAGGTCCTGGACGGACCAACGAAGACATGCTGGCTGATATGAGAATGAGAGGCGTCTACCTCTTTCCATCGGGCCCACCTAATACCACACACATCCTGCAAGTAAGTTTACGAACTGTATGAGCAACATCTCTTTCTTCCATGGATTGCTAATCTAATTGTTATTCAACAGATTCTGGATATGCTCTTTGCTCTGCTGAAATCCATCTACTTCACTAACCTTGAAAAGCTCTGGGAATACCGACAGAACAACATCAACATTGCCTCCACAATCACTCGAAATGATGTTGGATTGCTCTTCTACGGTAGCAAATACAGTCGGCATAGAGAGGAAGATCCACAGTTTCCTCTGCTCGAGAATGCTTTTGAACAAGCTTTTGCCATCAACCGAGTGAAGCACTGCTGGGCCAACAAGCTTGGAGTCTACCCATACTTCACACGAGCTGCTTTGAAGAGCAAACATGTCCGTCATGAGCTTGTTGTTTCACAAATTGGTGGCCCAACCGACCTCAATGCCGATCCGGAAGCACAGCATCTTCGTGATTTGAACTCTCTCAATAGGAAGGCTTGTGATATCCTTGATGCCGGAGGCTACAATGGATCTCTCTTTCGGATGCAATTGAGCGAGTTCAGCTCTCAAGAGAGGCAACGAGCCATCACAAAGCCTCGCACCCGATCTCGGCAGGATGCGTTTGAAGAAACCAAGGTTGGCGGAGGCAAGTTCTTTCTTCGAACGGGTGGTGCAGCTCTAAATGATGACGACTTGTTTGTTGGTATCCAGAGACGGAATCTCAAGAAGCAATACAAGGAGACGCAAGAGCACAAGCAAGAGAGACAAGAAGCGTCCCAACGCCAGGTGATTGCTCTTCAAATCCTGGAACAAGAGGTCGCAGCCGTCGAAGACTTCACAAGTCCACAATTGAGACATCTCATCTGTTGGAAACTTGGACAAAAGACGTTGCCAGGGACAATGAAGAATAAGCCTGAGAGAGTAGCCAAGTGGAAGCAACTCAAGGGCAAGCCTGCTCCTGATGTCAACCCATGGACCGATGCTGAGGAAGAGGCACTCGTTAAATTGAAGAGGAAGATCGATGGCGATATTGCACTTGATGATACAGCGTTTGCCCGACGGAGAGATCATGAGGTAGACACAGCCAAGAGCCTCATCCGAGGGCTATCCAAAGAAGAAAAGGAAGCGTTTCTGAAGACTATCCAAGAGGACGATGGCGACAGCGACGACTCGGATGGCGACAGCGACGACTCGGATGGCGGCAATTGAGTGTTGTGTGACATTGTGACACCATTCTCAGGTGCCATTATCTGCTCTTGTAGCAGTCAAGGTATCGACCAGAGCACTATTCAGAGCCTCAACAACACAGCCATTAACTTGGTTGACAGAGTAGCGGTGCGAGGGGTCGCAGGTGAATGCATCGTCGTGGTTTGAGTAGGTGGCTGTTGGTGAGGTGATGTCAATTTCAATATACCGGGCAGACCCCGGTGATCTCTAACCCCGTTTATTGTGGTGGTGGTGGGTTTGGTTGGTTGGTTATCCTTAGGGTTAGAGATTTACTTCAACCCCCTCGTTCTCACGCATTCTCATAATAATCATACGGTAGCAACGGATCCTAATATTTTCCTCACGATGCCCACCTCTAAACTCCCGTAAGCTACCACGCCACTTTCTCAGATGGAAAAATCTAATGACTCACGTTGCACACCTCTAAACTCCCGTAAGCTACTACGCCACTTTCTCAGATGAAAAAATCTAATGACTGGCCTTGCACACCTCTAAACTCTTGTAAGCTACCATGCCTCTTTCTCAGATGGAAAAATCTTACGTCTCACGTTGCACACCTCTAAACTCCCGTAAGCTACCACGCCACTTTCTCAGACGGAAAAATCTTACGTCTCACGTTGCACACCTCTAAACTCCCGTAAGCTACCACGCCACTTTCTCAGATGGAAAAATCTTACGTCTCACGTTGCACACCTCTAAACTCCCGTAAGCTACCACGCCATTTTCTCAGATGGAAAAATCTAACGTCTCATGTTGCACACCTCTAAACTCCCGTAAGCTACCACGCCACTTTCTCAGACGGAAAAATCTAATGACACTACCTTCAACCAAACTTTAACAATATTATTATGCCGGCCCATCTTTTAATTCAGCTCGCCCGGTATATCTATTACACCTCCGGTGTCCTTTATTTCTCAAACCCCAACCCTTGTAGTTTGCAGGTAAATTATAGGTCGCAGAAATTGTTGAATTTATTGGTGCAAAATCTGTAGCTTGGAGGACGGCTTCCCCGCATCTTTCCGGGGCAAATCGTCAGAAGGTGAATTCAATCTTTGCGCCCTTTTCTCGTGACGGATGAAAGCTCTAACCCTAACTCAAGCTTTTGCGGGAAGCCTTGCAGGAGCGCACCTCTAAGTACTCCCCTTCGAAGATGGTTTCGCTTCCCTAAGTATCCATAGCCGTTCCTTGTCGTTGCTGTTGCTCCTCACATTTTCTCGGACCAAGCACCTTCTTGGAAAGGGTGCAATTTTGCGAATTTGCAGCGTCCCCTTTCTTGGCCATTTTGTCACACTCTGTGCCTTCATTGCTTTTCGTCGAGTGAGACTGTTACATTTCTCTGTCTGGCTGCCTTCTTTCCTGGCGCCGACTTTTATTGAAAGCAACAACAGCAGCAACTATTCCGTGTGCACCATGAAGCGTCTCTGTCTTCTCTTGTTTGCTGTGATTTCCGGTGCAGCGACAGCCAACGATGTTCCTCCCAGCAATCACCTCCATGAAGAAGATCGGACACTTCTGAGTAACATCATCAACTACGCCGACAAAATCCAAAATGCCGTTCCCACGGTCCCCACGACGCCCATGCCAACAACATCACCGACATTTTCGTCAGCGCCAACTCCCAGTCCTTCCGCAACTCCTACTCAAGCGCCGACAGTTTCTGCTCATCCTTCCATCGGTCCTACAATCGCTCCAACTGTCAGTGCACAACCGACCAATGTTCCTACCGTGTCATCAGCTCCTTCGACCCCACCCAGTATTTGGCCCTCCTCTCTTCCTTCCACAGAGCCTTCGGGGGCCCCTTCCAATGTTCCATCCGTGTCAGCAATTCCCTCAAGCTCTCCCACTCCAGCTCCGAGCTCCATGCCCTCGTCGAGCCCTACCAAGGTTCCTTCAAGTCACCCTTCCTCTGTGCCATCGGACGTTCCGTCTAGTGTTCCGACTCTGTCAATGTCACCAACGCTCATGTACCGTGCGACCCTCCACACCACAATCTCAATTCCTCTGCAAGGTATTGACGCTCAAATGAATGTCAATCACACCAAGGTCTTTGAAAGTGTTGTAAGGTACTTTATTCAACAGAACCTGCAAGATGTGGAAGGTGCTGTTCTTGTGAGTACAGTGACAGTTCAAACTCAACAGGTACTGGATGTAGGAGGAAAGGAATTGGTTGTCGATGTACGAGTGTTGGCCATCTACGAGTCACTTGACCATCCAGATACATTTGACTTCAAGACTATTGTGGCCGATGGATTTGAAGTCAACTTTGCTCTCTTCAAGAGTGACTTGTTGGATACCAACGATCCGTTCTTTCTGCCTTTGGATCCAGCCCGGGTTCCTACAGACGAAAATGACCAGGACTCGAGCATATCGCAAGGAACATACATTGCCGTCGCTGTTTGCTCGATTATCGTATCTTTGTGTGGTGTGGCTGCAGCCTACTACTCGCTCAAGAAATACCAAGAAGAGACCGACAAGGGAGATAAACTGTCTTCGGACATGTACATGTACACAGATCCTGTCGATTCTCAACTAACGCAAGACGATGTCGGCTGTGGACTCCAAAACGCAAAGAGCATTGAAATTATTCAAGTATCGGATAGTCCCGAAAAGCGCCATGACTACAGCGTGGCTGGAGAAGACGATGAACAAGATGATGATGACGACGAACCCGAGAACGAGAACGAAAAGCCAGAGACGCCACGGAAAAAGGAAAAGAAAAGTGAGTCTCCATTGGAGGTGGAAACCCTCCAAGGCCATAACAGTAAGGATGGTGGCTCGTACACGGAACTTTTGCATACGCTACCCAGTAAAGGCAACCAAAACAACTTGCCGCCAAAGAGCCCCAACACCATGGAGGCGGGTACTCGATTGGGTGTACTTGCCGAATCCATCCTGAGGAGCGAAAGTTTTGGCAGCAACCGAGATCCTCCCACCGAAGCTAATCGATTCAAGTACTCGCAGCAACAGCAAAAGATTTCTACGAAAGACCCTGCAGCCAAGTATAGGACGGCGACCTTTGGACTTCCTCGACCTGATCAACGCGTAAGTACATGTATATTGGAGGTCTGCCGTTTGTTTCGTCTAAGCCAAGTACTCATTCCTTTTTGCACAATCTCTGCACAATCTCAACGCAGGACGACTTCAATCCTCGCGGCGGAGGTAGTGCTCATGCGAGGCGTGATCCATCCGTAGTGGGAGCGAATCAGTTTGTCAGCGCAGACGCCCTTAACAGTTTCTTCCCTCCAGCTAAACAAGATCCTGACCAGCGATCGACTCATAGCCGAAATATCTTTGAACTGGCTGAAAACAGAGCCAGCGCCGCACCTGGTCCCTACTCTCAAACGCAGTCCAATTCCGCTCATCTCCGACAACAGCAGCAACAATATCGCTCCGTTGATTGGCCGAGCGAACATAGTAGAGGCAATGGTGCATTGAACGCGGCAGCAGGACGGAACAACTTCGGAGCAACCTCGAAAGGACCTCCAAGGACTTTCGAGAATAATCGCAACGAGCCCACGAGTCCTGCCTCATCTGCAGTCAGTTCGAGTATCAATGCATTCCTCAACATGGTTGGTGGGACACTAGGTGCAGCACCACTGGCTTCTCCAGCAGTGCAGCAAGAAAAGAAGGAAGAGAAAAACGAAAAGTTCCACGATATTCTTCAAAGAGAAGGCTTGTACGATGTCTTTGCTCCAGCGGGCGCCCTTGGTATTGTGGTGGACACAACGAAAGATGGCCCAGCAGTGCATTCTTTGAAGCAAACATCCCCCATGCTGGGTTTGATCAATCCTGGAGACCTGATTGTCGGATTGGACGCACAAGACACCCGAAGCATGACAGCCGCGACTCTAACCCGGCTAATGGCGAGCAAGTCAAATCAGAAGGAACGAAAGATTACTCTCTTGGCGGCCGACACTTACTAGCTTTGAAAGCAATCAACATCGTTCACGCGGAGAGCGGATCCATATGATACTCGTGGCTTGTGGCGCCTCACTCTGTAATGGCAGCCAACTCGAGCGACAAGGATGTAACATTAAGTTTCGTAACAACATTCTTTACATATATAGTAGCACAACCAATCAACGACTTCCCTCTATCTAGTCCAATTCGCCTCCTTGTGGCTGCTACATGTACAGGGCCCGAGAGTCCTTCCTTGGCACGAGAGGGCTCACCACTGGTACCGACGGCAAAGCCACAATCAAGCAAAAGCATCAAATTTGCCGGATGTCTACCAGAAGGCAGCCGCAGCCACCAGCAGCGGTTCAAGAGTCAAGCGACTCGGCTCTTCAAACAGTGCGATGCGCTTGTCACTGGAACTGTGCCCCTTTACCGGAGTTTCCAAACAACCCTAGATGTAGATTGGTTCCCACCATGGAATCTAGGAAGAATTTCTGGTCTTCGTCTACGAAGAAATTCTAGTCTGGTAAGGAGAATGCAATCTCTCCTATCGTCAAAGCCTTCTTTCACCAATGGTTAAACAAAGATTCATTATTGTACCAACAATCGACACTAACACAGCCTTTTCAGCTTGAACGAAAGCGCCACTGTATCTGGGTCACTCTTGAAAGCATGGATCCATCTCCGTGGAACTAACACAGCCTTTTCAGCTTGAACGAAAGCGCCACTGTATCTGGGTCACTCTTGAAAGCATGGATCCATCTCCGTGGAATGATGATGCCCTCTCCAGGATTCAGTACAACTTCCTTCCATATCTCAGCAGTTGCATGATCACCAAATGCTTCCTCCTTATAGAAGGACGCCGTGTCCTTGGACGAACAGCCATCCACACGTGTCAGTGCCTTTCCCAAAGTCTTGAGTACCTTTTGTGGCTTTGCCATCCTTGCAATCTTTCTCCCTCTCAAGACCAATAGAAACCCCACCAAATCGTCATCGTGCGTACTCCCAGTGTTAGCTTGTTCATTGCAGAATGCCTCAACAGCATCCGTAGCAATCTTCATACTGGTCAACTCCACACCATCCGGTAACACGTCCTTGAGCTGATGATCTATAATGAAGTCATCCGAGAGCACTGCTTTTCCGTATCCCGTGTCAGGGTCCATGGTAATAACTGCCCTTTTCAAGAGTTTCTTCTTGCCAACGCCCTCGTCGCGAAATGCATTCTTGATGAGGGTAGCTAGTTTCTTCCACATGACACAACGAGTGGCTCTTCCTCGGCAACACTTGGTGGGTACTTCTACATCGAGCCATCGATCATAGTCTACATCCTTGATTGCGAATTGGTGTGTTTGTTTTCGAGACGATCTTGTCCCGAACCTTGGTTGCTCTTGTTGTTGTTCGTTGACCACTTGTTGGAGGAGTTGTTGACTCTCGTTTCGTTTGTTCTGTTCCTTCTTCAAAAGCTCTTGTAGGCGCTTGTTTTCTTTGCGTAGATCGTGGATTATATCTTGCTGGTTTTGGTGGGATGACATTTCGTCGATATCATTCGCAACAGGCTCTGGCGAAACCACATTCTTGACTTGCGTCTTTGCGACTTTGGAGATGGGTGACTGCCCGTCATCATTCTTTCTCTTGCGGCTTGTGGATGACCCCTTGGTAGCAACAGAGGAGGTGGAACCCATCATTCGCAGCATCTTTGTTCCGTCCACCACTATGGAAGGATGATCTTCGGCTGAACTGGAAGGAGCGAAATTCAGCGATCGCTTGGATCTCGGATTCTCATTTTTGCCGTGTCGTCGGTTTGACTCCTTCTTGCAAATGATGCGTCCGTTTGACTCCTTTAAAGCGCCGTCTTTGGAAGATTCTTGGCTACTACTACTAGACGAAGTAGAAGGAGTAATGACTGCTGGCGCCTGAGCTCGGACTTGTTTGGAAGGAGTTCCCTGCTGCAAACATTCCTTGTCTTGACTGTTCATTGTGATCTGTTTCTATCCGATAGTTTACTCGAATAAATTTCTGTTATTCGTCTTGACCAGAACCCACGTACTGTTGGTCGAACGAACGATAGATGGCAGAGATTAACATCCACTCTAGCTAGCTAGCCAGCACTTTTCCACGTTCAGTTTAGTTTGTTGTGGACCGTGCACAAATGATGTGATGATGGCTGGATTGGCATCAGCTCATTTCTGTGATCCTAGATTGCAATAATAATACTGTTTTACTTTATGGGGGTTGCGCATATTATGTCTGTTGTGTGGCCTGGGCCACTAAAGTATCCATTAGTTTTACTGCCAGTACAGTATAAACTTTTTCAAACTGGTTGGAGTAAGGATTTGGGTGAGGGTGGTCTTCCCTTCTAACTTTTATTTTGTTTTGAAAGATAATTGTTGAAGGCTGGGGTGGTTTGTCCATGTTTATCAATCAGTTTTAACCCTAGAGGTGCTGCGTCATGGCGCTGCGCCGACTCTGCGTCACTGCGCCGGGGCGCTGCGCCCCTTTTGTGGGACTCAAAAGAGTCCATCAGTTTTTCTTTGCACCTCTTCTGTCTAAAAACTTCTAAAAAATTTAAAGTTGTTAACCCAAGAGGTGCAATTGGCGATCGCCGGCGATCGCTGGCGATCGCTGGCGATCGCTGGCCACTCAAATCCTTCCAATGAAACATATTTGCACCTCTTCTGATCTTTGGCTAAAACTATCATGTTGTTTAAAATTAAAATACCTGTGTAGTATGAAAAGATAAAGTAAACAGAGGCAGTCAGTGCCAGCTTGGCCAGCTCCTTCCAGGTGCTTTTGAGGTTTGTTGAAAAGATGTGAACTTGAACGCACAATTTCTCTAATTTAATCAATATCCTTCCAGCTCTACTGTCTAGTAGACTGGCTATCTGTTTCGTTTTCTCTTTCTCTCTCGTTCAGATTGTGAGCTCTACAACTGAGCTCCGATATGCATACATATACCAGGATCTTTCGATCCTCTGCTTCTCGCAGTTTCATCTACAGATAGATCTCGTCGATCTATCTTCCTGAAGTGCATGTTGGCCCTGGAGGGGCTTTCCCACTTTACTAAACCTATGGACCTTCATCCTTCCATTCATTTGTTCCATCCGTCGCTCCTTGCATTCATCTCTTCGACCTAACTTCCTAACCTTTGTATTGCATCATCTAGACGACCATGTCCTCGTTCCTCGTACTCCTGGCCATCTGATGATGATCGGATAACCATCTGATTTGAGTCAACACATCCCCAATCACGAACGTGATTGTGGATCCCGGTCGTCTTTCCGTCATACGAAAATACCCTTCTGACACCCTTCCTGTTTCGCGATGATGGCAGCGACCTTCTTACCAACTCAACCAATTGCTCCTTGTCTCCTGTCAGTTTCGGTGCATGTTGTCGAGGGTCTCGACGTTGACATTCTTGGTTCCAATGTCGCTCACGTTGTCTCCGAGCGAACAAAATCAATCTTCATAGGCCGTCCTGCTGCATTTGTTCACGTAGTGCCACCTCGTATCCTTATGCCTTGTTCGACTTGCACTTGTCTTGTTCTCTGACATAAAGATAGCACCTACGTTATCGATCTTCACTTGCACAGGTAGTTCCACGTTGATCTGTAGGAACTTCAGAATCTGTGC